TTAGTGAATAAATTATCTAGAGGTCTTATTAAAAGTCAGATTCTTTCTTTCCTTAAAGAGGCACCTTAGCAGGAAGCTGAATCAGAAGTGCAGCACTGGGGCCCGCATTGTGGCATAACGGGTAAAACAGTTTGTGATGCCAGCATTCCATATGGGCGCTGGTTCAAGTCCAGGCTGCTCCACTTCTGATGCAGCTCCCTGATAATGCTCCTGGGAAAGCAACAGAGGATGGCTGAAGTGGTTGGGCCCCCGCACCCACATGGGAGACCCGGAAGAAGCTCTGGGCTCCTGGTTTTTTGGTCTGGCCCAGCCCTAGCATTGCCGCAATTTGGGGAGTGAACCAGCAGATAGAGGATCTCTCTGTGTGTGTGTGTGGCTCTCTCTCTTTAATACTGCCTTTCTTGAAGAAAAAAAAAAGTGCAGCATAGCCGGGACTCAAACTAGGCACTTCCCCTATGGATATGGTGTCCCACACATCAGCTTAACGGCTGTGTCACAGCTCCAATCCCAAAATGCAGATTCTAATTCAGTATCTTGAGTAGGACCTGAGACTTAATTGAATTACAAGGCCTTAGAAGACACTTCTAGGTTCTTCAGCTGATTTCTTCAGGACTGATTCCTTCAGCTTTCTCAGGATGATGAATTAATCATACCAGAATCTGATGCTCCAAAAATAGCATCCTATTCAACATTCCATCCCACCGCCGCATCCTGGAAAGCAGAAAGAACCTAACAGAATGGAATTGAACGCGAGTAGGGTTCAGATTTGCCCTCATTCATCATACATTATGTGATACCATACATGCAGGGAAAATATATCAGGTGCTAGGAGAAACAAAGATGATAAACAGGATCTCAGGGGTTGGTGTTGTGACACAGTGGATTAAGCCACCTCCTGCAGTGCCAGCATCCCATATGAATGCTGGGTCAATCCTGGCTGCTTCACTTCTGACCCAGCTCCCTGCTAATGAGCCTGAGAAAGCAGCAGTCTTGGCCCAAGAACTTGGGCCCCTGCCACCCACATGGGAGACCTGGATGAAACTCCTGGAGGCTCCTGGCTCCTGGCTCCAGCCTGACCCAGCCCCAGTCATTGCAGCCATCTGGGGTGTGAACCAGCAGGTGGAAAATCTCTTTCTCTGTCTCTTCCTCTTTCTGTAACTCAGACTTTCAAATGAGTAAGTAAGCCTTTTTTAAAATTAAGATTATATTTGTATTTATTTGAAAGGCACAGTTACACAGAGAGGGAAGAGAGAAAGAGAGAGAATCCTTCATCCACTGATTCACACTCCCTAAATGGCCACAACAGCAGGGGATGGACCAGACCAAAGCCAGAAGCCAGGAGCTTATTCCGGGTCTCCCACATGGGTGCAGGGGCCCAAGCACTTGGGTCATCCTCTGCTGCTTTCCCAGACCATTAGCAGGGAGCTGGATCAAAAGTGGAGCAGCCGGGATTAGAACCGGTGCCCATATGGATGCCAGCGCTGCAAGCTAAGCCACAACACTGGACTCATAAATAAATCTTCTGGAAAACAATAATAAAAGCAACAAAAACCCAGGATCCAGCCTTAAGTTGTCCAGACACCAGCAGGGGAGATAGAGCCACACACTGATAAGGCACAAGTGAAATCAACTAAGGTAATCCTAGCCCCAAGGCTGGTGTTCATTTCAGGGGGTAAGTAATGGTCTAAGGCAGTGACTCTTAATTTCTGATCCAGCTACCTGCTAATGCTCCTGGGAAAGCAGAAGAAAATCTCCCCAGGACGTGGGCCCCTACACCCACACTGGAGACCCAGATGAGGCTCCTAGCTCCTTGTTTGGCCTGTCAGCCCTGACCATGGTGGTCATTTGGGAGTGAACGAGTGGGTGGAAGATCTCTCTCTCCCTCTGTAACCCTTTCTTTTTTTTTTCTTTTCTTTTTTTAGATTTATTTACTTGAAAGGCAGAGTTACAAACAGAGGGGGAAAGAGATAGAGAGAAAGGTCTTCTAGCCGCTGTTTCACTCCCCAAATGGCTACAATGGACACAGCTAGGCTAGTCCGAAGCCAGAAGGCAGGAGCTCCTTTCAGATCTCCCACATACTTTTCAAATAAATAAATCTTAAAATGCACACAAAAACTCATTTAAAAAAAAAGAAAGAAAAAAGAAAAAAGCAGGAGTATGTAACATGGTCAGAACTGCACGTTAGAACTATGTGCAGGATTGATCATTGAATAAGTTGTACCAAAAAAAAAAAAAAAGAGTAAGTTGTACCAATCATGAGGTTATTTTGTCCTGGCAAGAAATAAGAGGGGCTGGTGCTGTGGTGTAGCAGGTAAAGCTGCTGCCTGCAATGCCAGCATCCTATATGGGCGCCAGTTTAATTCCTGGCTGCTCCACTTCTGATGCAGCTCTCTGCTATGGCCTGGGAAAGCAGCAGATGGCCCAAGTCCTTGGGCCCCTGCATCCGTGTGGGAGACCAGGAAGAAGCTGGCTCCTGGCTTCGGATCAGCGTAGCTCAGGCCATTGTGGCCATTTGGGGAGTGAACCAGCAGATGGAAGACCTCTCTGTTTCTCTCTCTCTCTCTCTCTCTCTCTCTCTGCCTCTCTGAAATTCTGCCTTTCAAATAAATGAATAAATCTTTAAAAAGAAAGAGAGGAAGGAAGGAAGGGGGGAGGGAGGGAGGGAAGGAAGAGTGAGCTAGGGGCCAGTGCTGTGGCGTAGAAGGCTAAGCCTCCGCCTACAGGGCCAGCATCCCATATAGGCACTGTTTTGAGTCCCTGCTGCTCCACTTCCTATCCAGCTCCCTGCTAATGAGCCTGAGAAAGCACCAGAGGATGGCCCAAGTACTTGGGCCCCGGCACTCATGGGGGAGAGTGGATGAAGCTCCCGGCTCCTGGCTTCAGCCTGGCCCAGCCCTGGCCGATGCAGCCATTTGAGGAGTGAACCAGCAGATGAAAGATTTATTTCTCTCTCTTTCCTTCTCTCTCTGTATCTCTGCCTTTCAAATAAATAAATAAATATTTTTAAAAAGAGCTAAACAAAGGCCATAAAATAGGGTAATATGTAATAATAGACATTTCCAAACTAGGATAAACAAGCAATATTGAACAATGATTCAATAATACCACCTATACATTGAAGCTTCCCGGCTCTTTTTAGCTATGTGCCTTCGGGAAATTTATTAAATTCTGTGTCCAAGTTTTCTTAGACCTAAAAAAGATACAGTAATAACGGGTTATTATTCTGACCTCATAGAATTAATATGAGTATTAATTGAATTAATAACAATAAAATTCTGTGCTTGCTTTGGCAGCACATATACTAAAATAACAATAAAATTCCTGGCTTCTAACTTGAGCTAGGAATTTTAGACTTACTACTCCCTATAAACCCACACATGATAGTTGCCCAGTGCTTGCTACATACCAGGCACTCCAACATGTGATGAGAATGTCCAATGAAGCAACTGCTCCAAGCACCTGACTCCCAGACACTAACACATATCAAATCCTTAAGACTTAGCTGGCCGGCGCCGCGGCTCACTAGGCTAATCCTCCGCCTTGCGGCGCCGGCACACCGGGTTCTAGTCCCGGTCGGGGTGCCGGATTCTGTCCCGGTTGCCCCTCTTCCAGGCCAGCTCTCTGCTGTGGCCCGGGAGTGCAGTGGAGGATGGCCCAAGTGCTTGGGCCCTGCACCCCATGGGAGACCAGGAGAAACACCTGGCTCCTGCCATTGGATCAGCGCAGTGCGCTGGCCGCAGCGCGCCGGCCATGGCGGCCATTGGAGGGTGAACCAACGGCAAAGGAAGACCTTTCTCTCTGTCTCTCTCTCTCACTGTCCACTCTGCCTGTCAAAAAAATAAAAAAAAAAATTAAAAAAAAAAAGACTTAGCTAACATTCAGTTCTAATGAGCATGTGAGGAAATAGGTACTTTCAGAGGTTTGCTAGTAGAATCATTAATAATTGCCATAACCTTTTGGAAGAGAGTTTCAGAGAGGCAGAGGCAGAGAGAAAGAGAGAGAGAGCCCGCATTAGCAGGAAGCCGGAATCAGGAGGCAGGTGTGTATCAAACCAAGTTTGGGACAGGGGCATCTTAATCAGAACCCACCCCAAGGTTGTTAATTTTTAAAAAAAAGATTATTTATTATTTGAAAGGCAGAGAGGCAGAGTTACAGAGAGGGAAAGGCAGAGAGAGAGAGAAAGAGAGAGAGAGGTCTTCCATCAGCTGGTTCACTCCCCAGATGGCCCAACAGCTGGAGCTGGGCCAGGCCAAAGCCAAGAGCCTGGAGTTGCTCCCACGTGGGTGCAGGGGCCCAAGCATTTAAGCCATCTTCTACCACTTTCCCAGGTCATAGCAGGGAGTGGGATAGGAAGAGGAGCAGTCAGGACTCGAACCAGCACTGCAGGTGGTGGCTTTACCGCTAAACCACAGCACCAGCCCCAAAGGATGTGAATTTTTATTGTTGCATCATTTGTAGTGGCTAAAAACAGAAAACAATCTAGCTTTCTAAATACGGTTAAATCATGCAATGAAGTATTATGCAGCTATCAAAAAGACAAATTTTATCTTTTGGCTTCAGGTGAACATATTAATTAAAAACAAAGCAAACAATAAATATCATGGATTTGTACACATAAGCCTAGAAAACTAAACTGTTTTACCTCAAAAGAGCGGAACGATGATGGAGGAAGGAAAAGTTATTATGTTGTGTTTGTTATTACCTTAATATCCTTTGAGTTCCTTTACAATTTCTACAACTTGTGTAATAAAAACAAACTCCAGTAAAATTGACAAAAAAACTGAGTGTTGGTCGATTGTTTGTAGGCAATAAATGCAGTTTAACGGCCACTAGTTGGAGCCCGGTGCGAGAGGCGGAACTTCTGTAATCTACTCCTGGCCACGCCCACTGTGCTTTGCCGGACGTTTTACCGGAGCCCGGGAAGGCCCTGCTTAACGCATGCGTAGTCACCTCAGCTCGTTTTATCCTCTGAGGGGCGCCTCGCCGCTCTGGATTTGACCCCTTCAGGCTACCGTCGTGGTGACCGGAACGGCGCTTGAGATTTACTTCCGGGCCTCCCTTTTGCTTCCCCCTTCCCTCCCTCACGTTTTTTTCCCCTCCCCCTGCTCCCGTTTCCCTTCAGTTTCTCTTTTTCTGGTGGAGGTCGGCTCCAGGCTCTGAGTCTGGGGTCTGGTGGATGCAGAAGAGCCCCTGAAGCTGGAAGCCCGGAGGTGTGAGGAGTACTGGTAATTGAGGTATTCGGAGACTGAACGCTTATCTGGGATGTTGTGGGAAGAGGTTGGCCGGGGTGAGAAGAAAGTCTTCCCGAGAGGCGAGCGGCCGCCGGACTGAGGGGGACTTGCAAATAAGTGGGATGCACCCCTCAAACGGGTGATGGGCCGAGGGTCGGTGTGTCGGCAAAGGAAAAATGGAGGCGCTGGGAACTGGCGCTAGGGTCGTACGGCGTTCTGGCATCAGTTTTGATTTAACCATTTGATCAGAAAATCAGTTAACGCTACTCTATGGGTTATTGGATTGTGGATATTAGGAAGCCACACTTTGTTTCCAGATTGTTTTACTTATCTTTTCTTGGGGAAATCTTTTCGCTGCAAGCTTTTGTGTTCGTAAATATTTTAGACTTAAAAAAAATTGCACGGAAACGAAGTAATGTGTGGTAAACAAGTAATAAAAGAAAATGCCGCAGTACTGAGTTGAAATCAACTCCCCACTTGTGGCCAGGTTGTTCACATTAGGAATTACATGGCGCGTAAGATTTATCTTGTTAGTTAAGGAACACGACAGACAGATCACAGAAATGTGTTTCTCTGCAGATTGGTTCTCCTCGGTTTCTTAAAACATTTCCAGTAGCTCACTAATGCAAAAGGTTCTTAGTCCGGCCTGTTAGTTGATAGCGGATGGTGAGAACTTTACAAAATCTCAGCATCGGATTTTGGAGAATGAGGAGAGAGAACATAGGCCGTTGGGATAACAGGTAGCAGAGTAGAAAGCAGTTTTATCAGGAGAATGACATTCTGCTTTGTGATTATAATGTCTCTTTAGTTTTCTGTTCCATGCAGAGGACGGAAGCATGGCATCCCTGCCTGGGTGTATTGGCTTGGGTGCAGCCGCAGCCGCAGTGGAGTCGGAAGAGATTGCAGAGCTGCAGCAAGCAGTGGTTGAAGAGCTGGGTATCTCCATGGAGGAACTCCGGCAGTTCATTGATGAAGAACTGGAGAAGATGGACTGTGTCCAGCAGCGCAAGAAGCAGCTAGCCGAGTTGGAGACGTGGGTAATACAGAAAGAGTCTGAGGTGGCTCATGTTGACCAGCTCTTTGATGATGCATCCAGGTGAGGACTACCTGAGAAAGAGGAGACCTCTCCATTGGCAGACACTTTGAGTATAATTATTCATGATCCTGAACTAAGTACTTTATGCTTTACAAAGTACAGCTGTGTAGAATTTTACCTTATATCAAAGTGGTCCAAAATCTGACCTTAGAATTACCTATATAGAGAATTTTCATCTATCAAAGGCTAATATATCATTAGAAGTAGGTGAGCGACTTGAGTCACTTGCCCTTCTTGTACTTTATTTTTAAAATGTTTATTCATTTATTTGAAAGGCAGAACAGTAGAGAGATCTTCCATCTAGTTCACTCCCCAAATGCCCACAACAACTGAGACTGGGCCAGACTGAAACCAGGAGCCAAAAACTCCATCTGATCTCTTATGTAGGTTGCAAGGACCCAGTTTTGTGTCATCATCTACTGCCTCCCAGGCACATTAACAGGAAGCTGGATGGGAAGCAGAGTCAGGGCTCAATCCCAGGCACTGTGATATAAGATCCATTATCCTAAGAGGTGGCATAACTCACTGAACCACACTGCCTGCCCCTTTCTTCTTGTGCTCTATTTTAAAATAATTGCTTTGATTGCCTCATAAGAGCTTTTGGGGAATGAGAATTGTAAACAGTTACTGTATTAATGTAATTGTGGAACATCAATTAAGTTCCTAAACTTCCCCAGAAGATTTGCTTCCATTGCTCCACTTAGAATATGTTTTCAGAAGGCCGGCGCCGCGGCTCACTAGGCTAATCCTCAGCCTTGCGGCGCCGGCACACCGGGTTCTAGTCCCGGTCGGGGTGCCGGATTCTGTCCCGGTTGCCCCTCTTCCAGGCCAGCCCTCTGCTGTGGCCCGGGAGTGCAGTGGAGGATGGCCCAGGTGCTTGGGCCCTGCACCCCATGGGAGACCAAGAAAAGCACCTGGCTCCTGGCTCCTGCCATCGGATCAGCGCGGTGCGCCGGCCGCAGTGCGCAGGCTGCGGCGGCCATTGGAGGGTGAACCAACGGCAAAGGAAGACCTTTCTCTCTGTCTCTCTCTCTCACTGTCCACTCTGCCTGTCAAAAAAATAAAAAAAATAAAAAAAAAAACTTATTAAAAAAAAAAAAAAGAATATGTTTTCAGATAACAAGGTGAGACCTTCTGCCACGTGTTCCATCATGTCCACGCTGGCAGTTGGTCACCCACCTCTGCAAATTTATTTTCTCTGAATAAATTCGGTCTGGCTGTTAAAAATAAATAAATAAATATATAGCGTTTAAAGCACAGCTGACCCCAAGTATCCGTGGGTTCTGTATCCATGGATTCAGCTGTGCTTGGAAAATAGTAAAAAAAAATTCCTTCTATACTGAACACGTGCAGGCTTTTTTCCTTGTTGCTATTCCCTTAACAGTACAGCCATATAATAACTGTTTACTTCACATTTACATTGTAAATGCATGACAACTATTTATATGGTAATTACATTTATTAGGTAATATTAATAATCTAGAGATGATTTAAAGTATACAGGAAGGTGTGCGTGGGTTATATGCAAATACTACACCATCTCATGTAAGGGGCTTGAATATCCAAAGGGGAATTCTGGAACCAGTCCCACATAGATACTGAGAGATGAGTTGACTATACTTTGGAGTTTTGAGGAATTAGTCTGAAGATGAAACTGCTACTTAAAATATTTTTTTGTGGGAAAAGCATCCTGAATTCTAAACCAAGACACTTTGCAATATGGTCCATTTAAGTTGAGGACAGTCTGTACTTAATTATATATGTAAATTCTAGTGGGTCCTATGCCTTTACTTTCTTTGCTGGCTTTGACCTTTTCTATATGTGTTCCAATATTAGGGCAGTGACTAATTGTGAGTCTTTGGTGAAGGACTTCTACTCCAAGCTGGGACTACAATATCGAGACAGTAGCTCTGAAGACGAAGCTTCCCGGCCTACAGAAATAATTGAGATTCCTGATGAAGATGATGATGTCCTTAGTATTGATTCAGGTAATTGATGAGGTTTTGGATAGGAAAGTCTAAGGACTGAAGTAGAAACACTGGAATATGGACAGTTAGAAGACAATAAGAGGTGAGAAACCATTGTCAGTAACTTGATATTACAAATTACTTGTCTAGTACAGAAAAAGTACAACATTATTAATATAGGTGTTGCTTATGTGCTATACCCTGATTGCATATCCCCCCCCCCCCCCCCCGCCCAGTTCTCTGTGATGTCTGTTCCGAATTCCTTTTTTTTCTTTATTGGTGGCTTAGTACCTGTGTATGTATCCAAAAACAATAGATTGGGATTTTTTTTTCTATTTTTAGAAGTTTTAATAAGATATTTACATACCATAGAATTAGTCCATTTTAATTGCATGATATGAGTTTTAGTACATTGATACAGTAATCTAATTTCAGAACATTTACATCTTCCCAGAAACTTCCATTTGCTAGTTTGCCCTCAGTATCCCTTGTTACCCCAACTGATCTGTTTCTTTTCTGTAGTTTTACCTTTTCTAGAAATTTCGTATAAATAGAATTATACAAAATCTAGTATTCTGGGTTCAGCATTTGTCACTCTTTTTGAAATTCATCTCTGTTGCATAATTGCGAGGTCTTAGGGTTAAGTATATGTTTGACTTGAAGAAGCTGTTGGCTATAGACAAAGCAGTTATACAGTTTTTCTTTCACACTAGTAAACTGAGAATTTCAAGACTACATTGTTGCTAGTACTCGTTGCTATTTTTCATCTTTAGCTTTTCTTTTTTTTCTTTTAAACGAAATTTGAGGCTTCTTTTTAGTGCAGCAATTTTTGTTTTCTGGTTTTGTTTCTTTTTTTTCCATCTACGTGAAAGGCAGAGTATCAGAGAGAGAGACAGAGACTGAGATCTTTCGTCTGCTGGTTCATTCCCCAAATGCCCACAAGAGCCAGGGCTGGGCCAGGTCAAGGTCAGGAGCCTGGAACTACATCTGGGTCTCCCGTGTAGGTGGCAGGGGCCATCATGTGCTGCCTCCCAGGATGTGGGATGTGGGAGGCTGGATTGTAGGCAGAGCAACTGGGACTCCATCTGGCACTCTGATGTGGAATGTGGGCGTCTTGAGCAGCAGTATAACCTGCTGTGCCACAACATCTGCTCCTGATTGTAGCCTTTCTAAGTGAAAGGCAAAGTTAGAGAGGGTGCATGGTGGTATCATGTTGTCATTCTAGTTTATGTTTTCCTAATAGCTAATGTTGAACTTTTTTTTTTTACTTTGTCATTTGCAAGTGTTCTCCCTTTTTAAAAAAATTGAATTTTTTTTATATACTTTTATTTATTTGAAAGGCCGAGAGAGAGAAGGAGAGCTATCTCCCTCTAATTCACTCCTCAGGTGCCAGCAATAGCCAGAGCTGGGCCAGGCTTAAGCCAGGAGTCAGAATTAAACCCAGATCTCCCACATAATTGACAGCTGCAGGAGCTGTTACTGCTGCATCTCAGGGTGTACATTAGCAGAAAACTGAAAGAGAACAGTCAAAATTAAAACCCAGGCACTCTGATATGGGATGTGGGCATTCAAAACAGTGGCTTAGCTGCTACACCAAACCCCTGCCCCTAAGAATACTTACATATTGTAGGGGCAATTTATATTTATCAGATACATCTTATAATTATTTTCTCCATGTGGCTAATCTTCTCGTTTTCTTAATTGTATCTTTTTTGGTAAAGATTTATTTATAATCTTATAATTTATAAATTTATTCATTTATAGATTATTTATAAATGCATAAATAAATATTTAAACAAAAAGCCAGATAATAAATATTAACAAAGAAGAAAAGATTATTTACTTTGAAAATCAGAGTTAGAGAGGGAGAGACAGAGGTCTTCCATCCACTGGTTCACTCCACAGATGGCTGCAAGGGCCCATGCTAGGGCAGACCAAAGCCAGGAGTCAGGAGCTTCATCCAGGTCTCCCACATGGGTGGCAGGGTCCCAAACACTTGGGCCATCATCTGCTGCTTTTCCCAGGCCATTAGCAGGAACTGCATAGAAGTGGAACAACTGGAACACAAACCAGCCCTCATATATGGGATGCTGACATCAGAGGCAGTGACTTTACCCATTGTTCCACAACACCAGTCCCAATTTTTCGACCACCATTTGTTAAAGCACTATCTGTTTAGTACCGATGGGCATTTAACCAAGCAGTTAAGATGCCAGCTGAAGCACTTGTGTTCCACATTGGAGTACCTAGGTTCAATTCTTGACTCCAGCACCTGACTCTACTGTCCTGCTGCTGCAGTCACTGAAGGGAATGATGATGGCTCAAGTAATTTGGTTCCTGACATCCACGTGGGAGACCTATATGGTGTTTCTGGCTCCCAGCTTTGGCTCAGTCCAGGAACCAGCAGGTAGATATATATGCACACATATATCTGCCTCTCGAAAAAATCGAAAAGATTTTAAAAACACATTGGGGGGCCAAATTGTGATGTAATGGGTTAAGCTGCTGCCTGTGTCCCATTTGGTCCCTGCGTCAAATTCCAGCTGCTCTGCTTCTGATCCGCTCACTGCTCATGGTCTGGGAAAAGCAGTGGAAGATGGCCCAAATACTTTGGTCCCTGCACCCACATGGGAGACCTGGAAGAAGCTCCTGGCTTCAGCGCGGCCAGATCATGGCCATTATGGCCATTTGGGGAATGAACCAGTGGATGGAAGATAGATTCTCCCCACTCCCCTTTCAAATAAATAAATACATCTTTTAAAATTAAAAAAAAAAAAAAAAAACTTATATGAGGATTGTTGCTGTGGCTCAATGAGTTAGGCTACCAGCCTGTAGTGCCAACATCCCATCTGGGCACCAATTCAAGTCTTGGCTGCCCCACTTTAGATCCAACTCCCTGCTAAAGCCCTGGGAAAACAGTGAAAGATGGCCCAAGCCCTTGGGCCCCCGCCACCCACATGGGAGACCAGGAAGAAGCTCTTGGCTTCAGGCTGGCCTAGCCTTAGCTATTGTGGTCATTTGGGGAGTGAACCAGTAGATGGATAATCTCTCCTTTCTCTGTCTCTCCCTTCCCCTCTCTGTAATTCTGCAATTCAAATAAATAAATCTTAAATAAAAAACTCATCTGACTGATCAGTAAATGGGCTAGTTCTGAATGCTGTTCTGTCATATTAATCTAAATGTCTAGCAGCATCACAGTGTTTTAATTACTATAATTTTATGGTAAGTATTGAAATCAATTATTGTTAAGTCCTGTACATTTATTTGTTATTTCATACATATTCTATATAAATTTTAGGATCAACTTGTCAGTTTCTAAAAACTTCCACCCATACACACACAGACACACACACACAAACACACACGACAACCTGCTAGGATTTTTTAATAGGGATTATATTAAATCTAGAGGTCAGCTGGGGAAATACTGCCTTTTTAACAGTATTGACTTATCCATGAAGATGGTATATCTCTCCAATTATTTAGGTCTTTGGTTTTTCTCAGCAATTTTTTTTTTTTTTTTTTTTTTTTGACAGGCAGAGTTAGAGAGAGAGACAGAGAGAAAGGTCTTCCTTTTTCCTGTTGGTTCACCCCCCAAATGGCCGCTACAGCCAGCACTGTGCCAATCTGAAGCCAGGAGCCAGGTGCTTCCTCCTGGTCTCCCATGCGGGTGCAGGGCCCAAGGATCTGGGCCATCCTCCACTGCACTCCCGGGCCACAGCAGAGAGCTGGACTGGAAGAGTGGCAGCAGGGACAGAATCCAGTGCCCCAACTGGGACTAGAACCCAGGGTGCTGGTGCTGCAGACGGAGGATTAGCCTAGTAAGCCGCGGCGCCGGCCTCTGAACAGTGTTTTGTAATCTTGCACTTTTGTTAAATTTTTTCCTAAGCATTTTTGGTGCTGATGTGAATGAAATTATTTTCTTAGTTTTATTTGAGGATAAAGTTGATTCATTGTGTTAATCTTGCTGCCTGTAGCCTTAATTAAGCTTTTTTTTTTTTTTTTTTTTTTTTTGGGACAGAGTTAGAGAGAAAGGTCTTCCTTTCTGTTGGTTCACCCTCCAGTGGCCGCCGTGATGCGCTGATCCGAAGCCAGGAACCAGGTGCTTCTTCTTCCTGGTCTCCCATGTGGGTGCAGGGCCCAAGCACTTGGGCCATCCTCCACTGTCCTCCCGGGCCACAGCAGAGAGCTGGACTGGAAGAGGAGCAACCAGGACAGAATCTGGCTCCCCAACTGGGACTAGAACCCGGTGTGCCGGTGCTGCAGGCGGAGGATTAGCCTAGTGAGCTGCAGCTCTGGCCATCTTTTTTTTTTTTTTTTTTTTTTTTTTTTTTAAGATTTATTTTATTTATTTGAAAGGCAGAATGAGAGAAATTGATCTTCTGTCTGCTGGTTCACTCTCCCAAATGGCTGCAAAGGCTGGAGCTAGCTCAGGCTGAAGCCAGGAGTTTCATCCAGGTCTCCCACTTGGGTTGCAGGGGCCTACGTATTTGGGCCATCCTCCACTGTTTTCCCAGGGGCATTATCAGGGAGCTGGATTGAAAGCTGAGAGGCTGGGGCTGGCACTGTGCTGTAGTAGGCTAAGCCTCTACTGCAGCATCCCATTTGGGCACTGGTTCTTGTTCCAGCTGATGATATTTTCAGTCTTGTGAATATATGCATTTAAAAGAATTATCGGGACCAGTTGTGGCATAGTGGGTGAAGCCGCCACCTGCACCACTGGGATCCCATATGGACGCTGGTTGAAGTCCTGGCTGCTATACTTCCAATCCAGATTCCTGTTAGTGTGCCTGGGAGGGCAGCAGAGGATGGCCCAACTACTTAAGCCCTTATACCCACGTGGGAGACCTGGAGAATGCTCCTGGCTGCTGGATTCAGACCAGCCCAACTCCGGCTGTTGTGGCCATTTGATGGATGAAGCAGTGGATGGAAGATCTGTGTGTGTATGTCTATCTCTCCTTCTCTTTAACTCTGCCTTTGAAATAATTAAATAAGAGCAAAACAAAGTATTAAATGTGAGTTAAACTTCAGTTGAAATTTGGAATTCATTTGTTTCACTAGCCGTATTTCATGTGCACTTAGTGGTCAAATGCCAACAGATGGAACAGTGCAGATATAGAACATTTCTGTCATACATAGTTCCCTTAGTGCTATTCAAGAGTAAGCATTTTGGGGCTGGTGCTGTGGCTTAGCAGGTAAAACCCTTGCCTGCTGTGCCAGCATCCCATATGGATGGTTGAAATCCTGGCTGCTCCACTTCCAATCCAGCTCTCTGCTATGGCCTGGGAAAGCAGTAGAAGATGACCCAAGCCCTTAGGCCCCTGTACACATGTGGGAGACCCAAAATAGGCTCTTGGTTTTGGATCAGCCCAGCTCTGGCTATTGCAGTCATCTGGGGAGTGAACCAGTGGGTGGGAGACTTTTCTGTCTGCCTCTGCTGTAACTCTGCCTTTCAAATAAATAAATAAATCTTTAAAAAAAAAAAAAAAAAGTAGGGCCGGAGCCGCAGCTCACTAGGCTAATTCTCTGCCTTGCGGCGCTGGTACGCCGGGTTCTAGTCCCGGTCGGGGCGCCAGATTCTGTCCCGGTTGCCCCTCTTCCAGGCCAGCTCTCTGCTGTGGCCAGGGAGTGCAGTGGAGGATGGCCCAAGTGCTTGGGCCCTGCACCCCATGGGAGACCAGGATAAGTACCTGGCTCCTGCCATTGGATCAGCGCGGTGGGGCCGCAGCAGCCATTGGAGGGTGAACCAATGGCAAAAAGGAAGACCTTTCTCTCTCTCTCTCTCACTGTCCACTCTGCCTGTCAAAAAAAAAAAGAAAAAAGTAAGCATTTTGAGGTTGGCATTGTGGCACAGTAGGCTAAACTGCTGCCTGTGATGCTGGCATCTCATATTGGAGCACTGATTCAAAGTCCCTCTTGCTCAATTTCCAATGCAGCTCCCTGCTAATTTGCTTAGGAAAGTACTTAGGCCTCTGCAACCCGTATGGGAGACCTGGGTGGAGTTCTGGTACCTGGCTTTGGCCTGGACCAACCCTGGCTATTACGGCCATTTGGGGAGTAAACCAACAGATGGAAAATCTCTCTCTCTCATTCTGCCTTTGAAATAAATAAATAAATCTTTTGGGGGAAAAAAGAATAAATATTTTTGCTTCATTCATTTTCCACATTTTATTTAAATTGCATTGATTTTAGTCGTAAGAATTCAGATACAGAATGAAAACTGCAAATCCTCTGGACCAACACCTGTCCGAGTAACTTATCCAAAAGTAAGCACTGTCATTCATTTATTGTGAATCTTTCCAGTCTGTTGAGTACTTATATATATATATATATATATATATATATATATATATACTTATATATATATTTCAAGTATTATTGATAATGCCTCCATGATAACTCTTTAAATAACTTAGATCTTGATTTCTTGGAAATTCTTGTAAGTCTTTTACACTCAGTAGAGTTCTTTTCATCTGTAGGTGATGCTGGGAGCAGAACTCCTAAAGATCAGAAGGTGGGTAATGGAAGAGTGAGGGATGAGAGTATGAAAGTGGGAAGAACTTTTGGCTGACCATCCTGTCATTTTAACCATTGACATGTTCACCCTGTCATCAGCCCTGTAAGTTTTAGTCCTCTAATAAACGTTATAAGAATCCAAAAAGGTATTAACAAGAGATGCACACATGGACAGGCACTGTGGTGCAGTGGGTTAAAGCCCCAGCCTGCAGCGCTGGCACCTCATATGGGCACTGGTTCAAGTCCTAACTGCTCTACTTTGATCTAGCTCTCTGCTAATATACCTGGGAAAGCAGTGGAGAATGGCCCAAGTGCTTGGGCCCCTGCACCCACATGGGAGAACCGGAGGAAGCTCCTGGCTCCTGGCTTCAGATTGGCTCAACTCCGGCCATTGCAGCTTCACCATGTGGGGAATAAACCAGCAGATGGAAGACTTCTGTCTTTGCCTCTCTCTCTGTAACTCTGTCTTTCGAATAAATAAAATAAATCCTTAAAAAAGAGATGCACACACTGGTGCTGTATGAAAATAAAATTTAGCAGTGTTCAGCTATTTGAGATTAGTCTACAAAATCTTCCTAAAGTTGATTTCTGAACAAGGTTTATAAGAAAAGACAATATTGCTTGAGATTCCATGCATAACTCATTCCATTTTATTTTTTGAAAGTTAGGTTTTTTATTTTCAAGTTATTTCTAACTCATGCTACAAAATTTGTTTCCCTCATTACCGTCCCTGTAGCTCCGTGAAGCTATGGCTGCTTTAAGAAAATCAGCTCAAGATGTCCAGAAGTTCATGGATGCTGTCAACAAGAAGAGCAGTTCCCAGGATCTACACAAAGGTTAGGGTCATGAAGTATCTGGTATAGATGGAAGGTGAATTTCTGTAGAGATTTAATAGATAAAATTGATTTGCTTTAGCATTTTCAGAATCCTTTGTTACCTGTTAGTAGAAGCTGGCTGTATGGCCATGTCAGTATATGATTATATGTGATTTTATTTTTCCTTGTTATCACTTAAAGTGTTTTTGATCAGCTGGTTGTGATATGCCAGACTTACTGTCCTCAGTACTTGTCAGGTCCCAATTATGCTGATGCTGGTTTTCTAGTCTGTGATGGTTTTATCTTAATATCTTTTTATTTTTTTACATTTAGGCATTTTCCAAGCCCTTGTTTACTTCTTCAACATGTAGATTTGGGGGGGGGGAGAGTAAATTGGACTCGCATAGAGATCTGAGGGAAGCTTTATAGAATGGGCTATTCATAGATATCACCCAGGAAAATGTTTTATAGATGCTACTTAGTATCTAATGAGTGGCCTTATTTCTACTGTTAAGAAATTGGGAACATTACGTTTAGGTGAGACATTCTTGAATTACCTGTGTACTTTTGTTATTCAAGTTTCTCCTGTTAGTACAGTGCTGTGTTTCTGCCCTTGGCCAGGGGAAGCACCAAAGTGGCGAAGGATCAAAGATAGCCTCATTTTCCCTGATTACTGTACTGTCATTTTTACCTTTCCATTTTTTATATTGGACCTGTGGTGGAGCTGGTTAAAACAACTTGCTTTCTTCCATAGGAACCTTGAGTCAGATGTCGGGTGAACTGAGCAAAGATGGTGACCTGATAGTCAGCATGCGGATTCTGGGCAAGAAGAGGACCAAGACGTGGCACAAAGGCACCCTGATTGCCATCCAGACGGTCGGTATGTTCCAGCTAGAGGGAGCACTGCTGCAAGGGCACCTGCAGGTCTCCATGCTGTTTGTTTCCTTTCCCTACAGCCTTTGCCTTTGTATCTTACAGAGCAGCCAGAAGCTCCTCAGAAACTGACAGCTTTTTAAAAAAATTTGTTTCTTTCCCTTGTACTCAGGGCCAGGGAAGAAGTACAAGGTGAAATTTGACAACAAAGGAAAGAGTCTGCTGTCAGGGAACCATATTGCCTATGATTACCACCCTCCCGCTGACAAGCTGTTCGTGGGCAGTCGAGTGGTGGCCAAGTACAAAGATGGGAACCAGGTCTGGCTCTATGCTGGCATTGTAGCCGAAACACCAAACGTCAAAAACAAGCTCAGGTACTTGGGCAGAGGATTATAAAGGGAGTAGAGGCCAGGAGCACAGCACCTCTAGATCCCACAATTAGCTTTTGTGTTCTTACTCCCCAGTGGCCAGAAACCCTTTCTCTTTCTTTGTCAGAGGAACCAAATAAGTGAACTGTTTTTCTTTTTCCTCTTATTTTTCTGTTAAGGAGAAAACTTGGAGAAAAACTAGGAGAGTAATCAAAATTGATAAATGATGAGGAGAATAGGAAATTCATGTAGAAGCAAGAAATGGAGATAAAAGGTTAGCAGCATAGGACTATGTTAGAGGAACAAGAATAAGTGGATTTTATAAAAGTGGGGATGCATTGGTTAGATTAAAAGAAAATTCCTAACTCTTATAAGGAAGGAAGTGGTAGTTCTCTGTAGTTCCTGCTATGATCCAGAGGCCTGGGAGCTCACGTTGGTCCCGGGGAATGTCATAGCCCCCAGACCTTTCTAACGCTAGTCATCCTTTCCAGGTTTCTCATTTTCTTCGATGATGGCTACGCATCCTATGTCACACAGTCTGAACTGTATCCCATTTGCCGGCCATGTGAGTGTCCTCCTACCTTCCCTAGCTCTATTGTTTTCTCCTCTACTTTGTGTTTTTTCTTAAGATTCCCAGTTTTTAAAAAAAAAGTCCCAGTGTTTTGAATGCTTCAGTCTCAAAAGAGTATAAATTTGATTGATGTCCTTTGGGAGGTACAGTTTGAATGTTTATCTCTAAGGCTGGATATTAGTAGCCAAAGAGTGAGACACTAGAAGATTATGACTGACTTTGGGTGGGCTGCTCATATTACACATGGATTTTGCTTTCACCTCTAAGTGATGTGGGTTTGAAGTTTTTCACTTCTGTGCTAGTCTTCTGTATAATCTGCAGTCTGTACAGTGCTTTCCATAGAAGCAGTGCTAGATGGAGCTTTAAGTGTCCTCCATGCTCACTACTCTGGCTTAGTAACAGACTCCTGCCACAGCCTCTGTTTTTACTTACAAAAGAGTTAGCTGACACTGCTGTGTTTCCACATAGTATGGCGGTAAACACATTCAGAGTCCTCTAAATACAGGGCAGGCATTTGGCCTGGCGGTTCAGATACTCCTTGATTTGTATGTACCTTTACTCATTAGGTTCAGTACTTAGTCTTGGTTTTGCTTCCCTTGAGGTTATGGTTCTTCCTTTATTTTTTCTCTCCCTCCCTACTTGAAAAATACCAAATGTCTCCTTGCTGTCCATTTTTTCCTATTGCAACATGGCCTGCCTGCCCTCTCTTAGCTCTGCTTCTTCCTTGGGACAGTGAAGAAGACTTGGGAGGACATAGAAGACGTCTCCTGCCGAGACTTCATAGAGGAGTATATCACTGCCTACCCCAACCGACCCATGGTGCTGCTCAAGAGTGGACAGCTTATCAAGACTGAGTGGGAGGGCACATGGTGGAAGTCACGAGTTGAGGAAGTGGACGGCAGCCTAGTCAGGATCCTCTTCCTGGTACTGTTCTTTCCTAGAATTCTGGAGACAAGAGGCTAAGGGGTGGGGCATAAGAAACTATAATGAGATGATTTTATAGTTACTCCATAGCTTCCCTCTTTTTTTGGGGGGGAAGATTTATCTATTATTTATTTATTTTAAGATTTATTTATTTGAAAGGCAGAATTATAGAGAGGTCTTCCATTTGCTGCTTTCACTCCCCAGACAGCCATAACAGCCGAAGCTGTTCCGATCTGAAGCCAGCAGCCAGGAGCTTCCTCCAGGTCTCCCACTCGGGTACAGGGGCCCAAGCACTTGGGCCATCTTCTACTGCTTTCCCAGGCCATAGCAGAGAGCTGGATCAGAAGTGGAACAACTAGGACTTGAACCACCACCCATATGGAATGCCAACACTGCAGGTAGCAGCTTTACCTGCTACACCACAGTGTCAGCCCCAGAAGATGTATTTATTTGAAAGAGCAACAGAGACAGAAGGAGAGAGAAAAATCTTCCATCCATTGGTTTATTCTCCAGTTAGCCACAATAGCCAATTCTGGGCCAGGCTGAAACCGGTAATGGGAGCTGCATCCTGGTTTCCCACATGGTAGCAGGGCCCAAGCACTTCCACTGCTTTCCCAGGTACATTAGCGGAGTTGGATCAGAAGCAGAGCAGATGGGACTCAAGCTGGCACTTTGGTAAGGGATGCCAGTGTCACAAGCAGTGGCTGAACCTCCTACACCATAGTGCTAACCCAGCTTTCCTTTCTTATCCTCTTATTTGTTCTCCATGTCTTTGGTCAAATTTTACTTTGCCTTTCTCTTGGTTTTATATGGATGGTTATTCAAAATTAGTTTCCTAAGACCAGTGTTGTGATATAGTGAGTATAAAGGTGCCACTTGCAATGTTGGCATCCCCTTTGCACACCAGTTCATGTCCCAGCTACTCCACTTCCAATACAGCTCCCTGCTAATGGCCTGGGGAAAGCAGCAGAAGATGGCCCTAGTGTTTGGGTCTCTGCCACCTACATGGAAAACCTGGATGAAGCTCCTGGCTTCTTTTTTTGGCTTGGCCAGGGCTGGCCATTGCAGCTGTTTGGGGAGTGAACCAGCTGGTAGAAGATCTCTTTTTGTCTCTGTCTCTCTTGGTAACTCTGACTTCGAAAATAAATAAATATTTAAAAAATAAACAGCAGGCCGGCGCCGCGGCTCAATAGGCTAATCCTTCGCCTAGCGGCGCCGGCATACCAGGTTCTAATCCCAGTCAGGGTACCGGATTCTGTCCCGGTTGCCCCTCTTCCAGGCCAGCTCTCTGCTTTGGCCCGGGAGTGCAGTGGAGGATGGCCCAAGTGCTTGGGTCCTGCACCCCATGGGAGACCAGGAGAAGCACCTGGCTCCTGCTGTCCCATCAGCACGGTGCGCCGGCTGCGGCGGCCAATGAAGGGTGAACTGACAGCAAAGGAAGACCTTTCTCTCTGTCTCTCTCTCACTGTCCACTCTGCCTGTCAAAAAAATAAAAAAATAAATAGCAAAAAAATTAGTTTCCTAAGTTTAATTATGATACCAACCCATGCATAGTTTTGATGTTTTTAGAGAGCTTTTCCAGGGTGAGGGTTTTGGTAGCATGATGGGACAAAGAAGATGGATTGAGGAACTGGAGTTCTTGATGATCTTTCGAGGCTCAGTTTAAGTCTTAGATCTCTTAGGCTCATCCTTTTTCCCTCCTCAAAATTAGATTTCTTCTCTCTGTGTTATCTCAGCCTTTTGTTCCTAAGGCCTTATAACCACTGCGATACTTCTTAACACTCAGTCATCTGTCCTTCCTATAATTTCTTTTCTTTTTTTTTTTTTTTTTTTGACAGGCAGAGTGGACAGTGAGAGAGAGACAGAAAGGTCTTCCTTTTTTTTATTTTTTATTTTTTATTTTTTGACAGGCAGAGTGGACAGTGAGAGAGACAGACAGACAGAGAGAAAGGTCTTCCTTTGCCGTTGGTTCACCCTCCAATGGCCGCCACGGCCGGCGCGCTGCGGCTGGCGCACCGCGCTGATCCGATGGCAGGAGCCAGGAGCCAGGTGCTTCTCCTGGTCTCCCATGGGGTGCAGGGCCCAAGCACCTGGGCCATCCTCCACTGCACTCCCTGGCCACAGCAGAGGGCTGGCCTGGAAGAGGGGCAACCGGGACAGAATCCGGCGCCCCGACCGGGACTAGAACCCGGTGTGCCGGCGCCGCTAGGCTGAGGATTAGCCTAGTGAGCCGCGGCGCCGGCCAGAAAGGTCTTCCTTTGCCGTTGGTTCAACCTCCAATGGCCGCCGCGGCCAGTGCGCTGCAGCCGGCGCACCACGCTGATCCCAAGCCAGGAGCCAGGTACTTATCCTGGTCTCCCATGTGGGTGCAGGGCCCAAGCACTTGGGCCATCCTCCACTGCACTCCCTGGCCACAGCAGAGAGCTGGCCTGGAAGAGGGGCAACCGGGACAGAATCTGGCGCCCCGACCGGGACTGGAACCCGGTGTGCCGGCGCTGCAAGGCAGAGGATTAGCCTAGTGAGCCGCAGCGCCGGCCCCTATAATTTCTTAATGAGTGTATTCTTTTTTATTTCTGATACCTGTCATGGAACCTGGTACCTAAGTTTATTGAAAATATAGGGCATTCAGGGTTCACTGGGGAGATTTCCCAGGTAGGTGGAATATTCTCCACAACTGACAGGACAGATTCTACCTTTAACCTGTCTCCCCCACCCCCATTCTCCTGTCTCCCCAGGATGACAAAAGATGTGAGTGGATCTATCGAGGCTCTACACGGCTGGAGCCCATGTTTAGCATGAAGACATCTTCGGCCTCTGCACTGGAAAAAAAGCAAGGGGGACAGTTCAGGACACGTCCAAATATGGGTACGTCCTGAGAGGTACCCAGGGGAGGGAAGATACAGCCAGACAGCAAAGGAGACCATATACTGTGGCTACCCTTTGTTCACTGTGGTGGCACTGCAGACTCAGTGGAAACACAGGATGTGTGCCCTGAGTTGTTTCCAGTAGTGTTGATGGATTTGTGGTGCTCCCTCCATATGCTGTGGCTCTGATTCATCCTAAACAATCACGTGAAAGTCTGATGAAGTTTTCTTAGGTTAGGATGTAGCAGTTAGCACTCTATATAATTGTCTGCTTTGAGTATTGTTTGTAGTTTTTGCTTTTGTTTCCCTGTGTTCCCGCAATATCTGATTTCCTCTTCCACCAATGCTGTTTGGTCAAAAATAATTTTTTAAAGTGTGACATAATTAATAAATGATGTAAATTGCCTGAGGCAGGAAGATTAAAAGTATTATTTAAGTACAAAAACAGCAATATACTGGCCGGCGCCATGGCTCAATAGGCTAATCCTCTGCCTTGCGGTGCCAGCACACCAGGTTCTAGTCCCGGTCGGGGCGCCGGATTCTGTCCCGGTTGCCGCTCTTCCAGGCCAGCTCTCTGCTATGGCCCGGGAAGGCAGTGGAGGATGGCCCAAGTGCTTGGGCCCTGCACCCACATGGGAGACCAGGAGAAGCACCTGGCTCCTGGTTTCAGATCAGCGTGATGCACTGGCTGTAGCGCGCCGGCTGTGGCGGCCATTGAGTGGTGACCAACGCAAAACGAAAACATTTCTTTCTTTTTCTCTCTCTCACTCTCTCACTCTCTCACTGTCCACTCTGCCTGTCAAAATTTAAAAAAAAAAAAAAAAAGCCGGCACCGCGGCTCACTAGGCTAATCCTCTGCCTTGCGGCGCTGGCACACCGGGTTCTAGTCCCGGTTGCCCCTCTTCCAGGCCAGCTCTCTGCTGTGGCCAGGGAGTGCAGTGGAGGATGGCCCAGGTGCTTGGGCCCTGCACCCCATGGGAGACCAGGATAAGTACCTGGCTCCTGCCATCGGATCAGCGCGGTGCGCCGGCTGCTGCGGCCGTTGGAGGGTGAACCAACGGCAAAGGAAGACCTTTCTCTCTGTCTCTCTCTCACTGTCTACTCTGCCTGTCAAAAAAAATTTAAAAAAAAAAAAAAAAAAAAAAAAAACCAGCAATATACTAGCATCTCCAGTCACGGTATATGGGAATTGAGTCTTCATATACATTTAATGTTTCTTTTTTTAATATTTATTTATTTATTTGAAAGTCAGAGTTAGAAAGAGAAGGAGAGGCAGAGAGAGAGAGAGAGAGAGAGGTCTTCCATCCGCTGTTTCACTCCCTAATTGGCTGCAACGGCCAGAGCTGTGCTGATCTGAAGCCAGGAGCCAGGAGCTTCCTCCAGGTCTCCCATGTGCATGTAGGGGCCCAAGGACTTGGGCCATCTTCTACTGCTTTCCCAGGCCATTGCAGAGAGCTGCATTGGAAGTGGAGCAGCCGGGTCTTGATACTGGCACCCATATGAAATGCCAACACTGCAGAGGCGGTGACTTTACCTGCTACGCCACAACACTGGCCCCTTAATGTTTCCATTGCTGCTTTTTGTACTGTATAAGTTGAGAATCAGGTGTGTGAATGAGAACAAGTCACACAGCTTTCATCCTCTCAGCGATCAGTTTCCTTTTTCCTGTAGGTGCGGTGAGAAGTAAAGGCCCTGTTGTCCAGTATACACAGGATCTGACCAGTACTGGGACCCAATTCAAGCCAATGGAGCCCCCACAGCCTACAGCCCCACCTGCCCCACCCATCCCACCTACTTCACCTCTGTCGCCTCAAGCAGGTGACGCTGAGTGAGTGCTATTTCTTGTTTTTTTTTTTTTCCTTCAGTTTCTTTCATATTACATTTCCTGCATCCCTTACTATATGATCTATTCTCGAATCTCCTAGAAGCTTGGAAAGCCAGCTTGCTCAATCACGGAAGCAGGTAGCCAAAAAGAGCACATCCTTTCGACCAGGATCTGTGGGCTCTGGTCATTCCTCCCCTACATCCCCTGCACTCAGTGAAAGTGCCCCTGGTGGGAAACCTGCAGTCAACCAGACGTATAGGTGAGAAAAAGCTTGGGTTGTCAGGGGGCAGGTTGGCGATATGAGCTGAGTAGAAAGTCCTTGGCTCCAAGGGGGTTAGGTTAAGGGTGTGATGGTAAGGAGTTTGGACTTAAAAAGGAAGCTTTCGCTTTAGAAGCTTTTTAGAAAGTAAGAATAATTGAATTAGGAACTTGGTACCTGGAAATATGTAATCACCAGTAGGCTTTTAATAAAACTTGTGTTTTCTTTTTTAAAGATTTACTTATTTAGTTGTTTGAAAGATAGCTACAGAGAGAAAACAAAAGGGGAAGGATCTTTCATCTGTTGATTTACTCCCCCAATGGCCTGGGTTGGGCCAAGCTATCACCAGAAGCCAGCAACTCCATCCTGGCCTCCCATGTTGGTGGCAAGGGCCCAGACACTTAGGATATCTGCCAGTGCCTTCCTAGATGTGTTAGCAGGGGGCTGGATCACCAACAGAGCAGCTGGGACTCTTAACTGGTGCTCTGATAGTGGATGCCAGTGTCACAGGTGGTGGCTTAACCCACAGCATCACAATTTCAGCCTGTTTGTTAAACTTCTTGCTATCATTGCTGTAATAGAAAGAAAATACTGTAGTCTCTTTCCTTGAATCCTAGGAGCTATTAAGGACTTTGGTAGAAGACTGACTTCTTCTTCCATAATTCACGGGCAAATACATTTTAGGAAAAGGTGTACTGTTGAAAGAGAGAGAGATAGCTATCAGTCAGTGACAAGTAACCAATTTTCATTATTCAGGTTTGTTACGGCAAGGCAAGATCTGACTTTCTTGTGTCATCATTAGTGTTAAGGGCACAGCTACTTAAAAGATGAAAGAAATGGCTTCGCGAGCTGGAGGGGTATTTATACAGTACGAACACCCTGGTTGCCTTCTTACCTCATCTTTTGCATCTCATTTGCAGGTCACCTTTAGGTTCATCAGCCTCTGCCCCAGCACCCCCGGCTCCTCCAGCACCCCCAGCACCCCCAGCACCCCCAGCCTTCCATGGTATGCTGGAGCGGGCCCCTGCAGAGCCCTCCTACCGTGCCCCCATGGAGAAGCTTTTCTACTTACCTCACGTCTGCAGCTATACTTGTCTGTCTCGGATCAGACCTATGAGGAATGAGCAGTACCGGGGCAAGAACCCTCTGCTGGTCCCACTACTGTACGACTTCCGGCGAATGACAGCCCGGCGCCGGGTTAATCGCAAAATGGGCTTTCATGTTATCTATAAGACACCCTGCGGCCTCTGCCTTCGGACAATGCAGGAGATTGAACGCTACCTTTTTGAGACTGGCTGTGACTTCCTCTTTCTGGAGATGTTCTGTTTAGATCCATATGTTCTTGTGGACCGGAAGTTTCAGCCCTATAAACCTTTTTACTATATCTTGGACATCACCTACGGGAAGGAAGATGTTCCCCTATCCTGTGTCAATGAGATTGACACAACTCCTCCACCACAGGTGGCCTACAGCAAGGAACGGATCCCTGGCAAGGGTGTTTTCATTAACACGGGCCCTGAGTTTCTGGTCGGCTGCGACTGCAAGGATGGGTGTCGGGACAAGTGAGTTGGTGGAGGAATTGCTGCTCCTGCCACAGTTTCTTGTGGTTGCCTTTCTTTTCACTTCTTTTGCTTTCTGTCGGTATTGCTTTCTCCACCTCCCTTCACCTCCTTCCTCAGCAGGAACTCCAGCCTTAAGGCCACCATGAAAGCTGTGAGGTAGGGAGACTGAAGTCCAACAGGCCCCAGTGAGTAACCCCGGGTACCTGTGCTTTATGTTGTTTCTGATTTATTTATTTATTTAAAAGGAAGGGTGACAGAGGAGAGAACTTCCATCTAGTTAACTCCCAAAATGGCTGCAGTAGCTGGGGCTCGACCAGGTAACAGCCAGGAGCCAGGAACTCCATCTTGGTGTACTATCAGGGAGCTGGACTGGAAATGGAGCAGCTCTGAAATGGAATGCTGGCGGCAGCTTGACTCTCTGTGCCATCCTGCTGGTCCCTGTTTGCTTCTCTGATTCTCCCCCTTTTCCTGTTTCTCTCCATCATACTTCCAGTTGCCACTTTGTTTCGTTCTGTCTCTGTTTTATTCTCACTCTGCCTGTTTGTTTCATTCTATCTCCTTGTCTTTCTCTGTTGGTACTCTGAGAAAAAAAGAAATTTATTACTACATCTCCATCCTTTTATTATTTCTCAACACTGTAGTTGTCATATCCTTCTTACACAGGTCTAAGTGTGTCTGCCATCAGCTAACTATCCAGGCTACTGCTTGTACCCCAGGGGGTCAGATCAACCCTAACTCTGGCTACCAGTACAAGAGACTAGAAGAGTGTCTGCCCACAGGGTAAGTGTCAGGGGATTGGCTACCTCAGAGATTGAAGAGCATTTTCTTATTTTTCTGTGCTTAAAGGAACCATCAGAAATATAAAAATTGGAACAAAAAATAGAATACAGAAACAGATATTTTATTAATTTTAAATTTATATAGCATGTTTTTTCTTTTGGCTTTCTTTGAAATGAGAATATAGAATGATTGAGTAGTATCTAGTAATTTCTTGTTGTGGGAAATGATCTTAATTTCATAGCTGTATGAATGCATTAACCAAGTGTGATTTACTATAGCAAGTGAAATGTGTTCAAAGAAGTAAGCAGGGATTTGATTATATAGGGCTTTGTAAGCTAGAATAAAAAATTAGAATCAAGTTTATGGTACAGTAAGAAGGATTTTGGAGGATTTTAAGCAGGCAAGTGATGTGATCTGCCTTTTCAGGGTGACTCTGGCTCCTTTGCAGAGCATATTTCTTAGGGCAACAAAAGCAGGATTTGCAAGACAGGTTAGGGGATGATTACAGGAATATAGGCAAGGGAAAGGTAGTAGTGAGTGGAGTTTATACTAGAATGAAGGTGGCAGTGGAGATGAAAGATTTGGGATGCCTTAGGAGGTGAGCTACAGAACTTGGTAGATGGACTGGCATAGGAGGGAAGGAATGGAATCAAGGACAATTTCTAAATTTGCTTGAACAACTAAGTAGATGTTGTCACCTTTTACTGAAGGATGGGTGTCAGGACAAATGAGTTGAAATTTGAGTGAAATTCAGCTTTTGTTTTGGTCATCTTAAATTTTAGAAACTTCTTGGGGAATCTAAGTGGAAATGTCAAGAGGCAATGGAATTTTCTGGAAAGAGGTATGGGAGCTGGACAAAAAGGTTTAGTGATTATCAGCACAAATGTAATATTTAAAGCTTGCACGTGTTCCCCTGGAGAGAATGTTGACAATAGAGAAGGAGGCCCAGGAATAAGCCCTGGGTGCTCCAACATTGGGTGGGTGAGCAGAGGAGGTGAGGCAGCATGAGAGACAGAGAAGGACAGGTCAGAGAAAGGACAGACAACAGAAGAGAAGGAGGTGTCGTGGTAAGTTGGTGTATATGAACATGTGACTAACAGATCCAGTGTGCAGATATATAATTAACAGAAGAGGAGAAAAGCATTGATTAAATAGTTTAGAAATTTGGTCATAATTGAAAAGTGTGTAATTCCCAATTTAAAGGGCCAATGAGGTCTTAGCATAATAAGTGTAAATAAATTCCACTGAGATAGGAAAAAAATGAGAACACTGAGGATAAAGAACAAATCCTAAAAGCCTCTAGAAGAGTGAAATAGACCACATTAAAAAATAGATTTGGGGGCCAGCGCTGTGGTGTAGCGGGTAAAGCCGCTGCTTGCATTGCCAACATCCCATATGGGCGCTGGTTCAGATCCTGGCTGCTACACTTCTGATCCGGCTCTCTGCTATGGCCTGCAAAAGCAGTGGAACACGGCCCAAGGTCTCGGGCCCTGCACCTGCGTGGGAGACCTGGAAGAAGCTACTGACTCCTGGCTTTGGATTGGTCCAGCTCCAGCTATTGTGGCTATTTGGGGAGTGAACCAGTGAATAGAAGACCTCTCTGCCTCTGCCTCTGCCTCTCTGTAACTTTGTCTTTCAAATAAATAAATAAATCTTAAAAAAGTTTGAAATTCTAGCCTTTCCAAAATAACACAGGAAGCTAGAGGGCAATTAATTATTCAAAATTCCAAAGGAAAATTATTTCCAACATAGAATTCTAAACTCAATTGTTAAAATAGGCTAAGGATATTTTTTAGATGCACTGTAAAGTTGTTCATTATTTTTCTTTTCAAAAAGTACTAACAAAAGGAAGGGAAGAAAAAGTTACTGGCCATATTTACCAAAATGAGGAGAAAAACCCAAGAAGAGGGAGGTATACAGTTCAGGGGACACAGAGTACAACTCAAAAGAGGAGCATAGGAAATCCCCCCAGATGATAGTGGGGGGAAGGAGGACATCCAGCTGACAGCCTATAGCCAGTGCCAGTGCAGGAGAGCAGGGATCTCAGAGGAGATTGAGACTACTGGGGAGACGGGGTGAATTTGTGTGAAATATATAGACAGCTAAGCAAGGGAAAGACAGTTACTAATTTTAGATTACTGGTTTTTTTTTTTTTTTTTTTTAATGGATTGATTTGAAAGAGTTACAGAGAAGCAAAGGCAGAGAGAGAGAGAGCTTCTATCCACTGGTTGGATGGAAGATCCAAAGAAGATCCCCAAATGGCCGCAACAGCCAGAGCTGCACCTCTCCAAAGTCAGGAGCTGCTTCAGGTCTCCCACGTGGGTAGCACTTGGGCTGTCTTCTGCTGTCGAGGGCCATAGCAGAGAGCTGGATCAGAAGTGGAGTAGCCGGGTTTTGAACCAACACCCATAAGGGATGCCAGCGCTGCAGGCAGCAGCCCCTTTATATTTTAATTTTAAATTCTGTATCTTACAATAATGCTTAGATTTCATAATGCTGGTAATTACATGGTGTTCATTACATCTTTTTTACATGTTTAATGCATAAAATTTTTTAATAACCACAATGTTACTCCCCTGCTTAAAAACTCTTAAATAGCTTCCCACTGCATTTGGAATTTTATTCTCTTAACCGTGGGTTATAAAATCCTGTACTACCTCCCCTCCCCCATCCTCACTCCTTCCAGAGTTGCTCCAGCTACGCTGATGTTCTTCAAGGTTCCTGGATTCAGTTCACCCCATGTGTCCCGCCTGCCTCTGGGGCCTTTGTACATGCTGTGCCCTCTTCTTGGCATCCTTCCACTGTTCTTTAACCTTGAGCTCTCAGTTTTAAACTCACCTCCTCAGAAACATCTTCCCTGGTCACTCTAAATCTAAGTTTCACCCCCTTAATTCTCTCACTGAACTTCATGTGTGTGTTCTTTATAGCATTTATGACAATTTCATTTGTTGACTGGATTTTCTCTTTTCCATTAGAAGGCAGAGGCTCTGTCTTGTTCACCATTGTATCACAGGAGCTAGCTTACCCAGTGTCTGGCACATGGTAATGGTTCCACAAAAGGAATGAAAGATACTTAGCATTACTACTCTGAAGAGTTATTGGTAGTAATTAGGGCTGGCGCCGTGGCTCAATAGGCTAATCTTCTGCCTTGCGGCACCAGCACACCGAGTTCTAGTCCCAGTCGGGGCGCCAGATTCTGTCCTGGTTGCCCCTCTTCCAGGCCAGCTCTCTGCTATGGCCCGGGAAGGCAGTGGAGGATGGCCCAAGTGCTTGGGCCCTGCACCCACATGGGAGACCAGGAGAAACACCTGGCTCCTGCCTTCAGATCAGCACGGTGCGCCAGCCGCAGTGGCCATTGGAGGGTGACCCAACGGTAAAGGAAGACCTTTCTCTCTGTCACTCTCTCACTGTCCACTCTGCCTGTCAAAAAAAAAAAAAAAAAGTAATTAGACCTGAGTTCAGGTTCTGGTCTTCCACTTTGGAGCTAATCCTGTTATCAGCTATAAATAGGAGATATTAATACTGACACCCACACTCTATCCCCAAAGGGTTTTAAATGACCTAACAGACTCTTTCTTTATCTGGTGCTGGTTAACACAGTATGTTTAGTCTGAAAATCCATTGACTATGAACTTTTCTGTATATTTTTCTTATGTATATTATACTTTGAAAATCTTCTTTAAAAACTTTTAAAAAATACCATTATAGCACTGCTTTGAAGATAGATAGAATAAGAGAGTGTAAATTATGCAATTTACATAGCAACAAAACAAAGTGTATGTTCAGTAAGTAGAACTGCTCTTACTGTCTTTATCCAGAAGGATGTGACTAATGTCATTAGCCAAGAAATTGTTTTATTATCCTCTTCCCAAAAGTAAATGTCTCCCTGCAATTTATACCAAGAAGTATAATCCTAACAGTGAGCAAAGCAAATCAAGCAGAAGCATTGGTACCCGTAACATTTCCAGTCTTATCAGCATAGCTGTTTTCTTCCTTTAATGTTCATATTTGCTAGATCCCTCTGATTAACTTTAATAGTTTGTTTTAAAAGTAATTAAGTTGTTAAATTCTTCAACTGATTAATTCCTTTAAGGTAGAGATTATGACCTCTTTGATTATTCCCAGTGTCTAGCACAACTATTATTATTTAATAAGTGTTTACTGAATGATATGATGAAAACCAACTTTACCAAAGAAAAGTCCCCATAAACATCCATACCACCTTCTCTTTTCTCTTTAGACATTATATGTGTGTGTGTATAATATATATATATTGATATATATATATATATATAAAATCAGTATATCAGCCTCTGCTTTTCTTACGTATCTTTATGCATCTTTTTTCTGAAAATTGACGGACTCTATATACTTATTTTAGTGGCTCTGTAATCTGTATTCACGTCATGGTTTTCTTAGCCTCTTTCCAGGTGTTAGGAATTCTGGCATTCACTATTAGAACACTGCTATAAACATCGTTAATTCCCTTCTAAGTTATTTCTGTGAGCTATATTCCCAAATAAATGAAACAGCATAGACAGTTCAGTAAATCCACTCAGATCATTACCTAATTTTTAATCTTTACCCAGGACACATTGTAAGTAATGATAGCTTAAGAATTATAACTGTTTTGTGCGTTTCTATTGCTCATCTCATGGTTGATCTTTCTAATCTCCCAGGGTATATGAGTGTAACAAACGCTGCAAATGTGACCCAAACATGTGCACAAACCGGTTGGTGCAGCATGGACTACAGGTTCGCCTACAGCTATTCAAGACACAGAACAAGGGCTGGGGTATCCGCTGCTTGGATGACATTGCCAAAGGCTCTTTTGTTTGTATTTATGCAGGTTGGTGATGGATATAAAGGTTGTTTCCTGGGTCTGGGATGTGGTGGGGAAATGAACCAGATGCAAGTTGAGCTTACGAATAATGTGCTGGACATGTGAACTGAGAGAGAGAGGAGCCAGGGCTCGCTTCTGTAGAGAACCTGTGGAGGTTCACAGAGAGGGACACAGGGCTTTGGAAAGACAGAAATAAAAAAGGGGTAATGTTTTAGACGTGATGATGTTCCAGGGGAGAGACATGATTGCAGAGTCCAATGTATTATCCTCCCACGTTTCTCCACCCAAAGATTTTTTTTTTTAGCATGGCTGAGAACTGTTGTTAAAGAGGAGGAAATGGGCCGGCGCCGCGGCTCACTAGGCTAATCCTCCGCCTAGCGGCGCTGGCACACCGGGTTCTAGTACCGGTCGGGGCGCCGGATTCTGTCCCGGTTGCCCCTCTTCCAGGCCAGCTTTCTGCTGTGGCCAGGGAGTGCAGTGGAGGATGGCCCAGGTGCTTGGGCCCTGCACCCCATGGGAGACCAGGAGAAGCTCCTGGCTCCTGCCATCGGATCAGCGCGGTGCGCCGGCCGCAGCGTGCCAGCCGCGGCGGCCATTGGAGGGTGAACCAACGGCAAAGGAAGACCTTTCTCTCTGTCTCTCTCTCACTGTCCACTCTGCCTGTCAAAAAATAAAAATAAAAAAAAGAAGAGGAGGAAATGGGAGGACAGAGAGGACAAGATTAAAGCTACAGTAAAGGAGGTATCATCGAAGAGAGACACAAGAGACCAAAATGTAGGCATTTTACCTCTGTGCTGGAGCACTGGGTGTGGGTGGATGGACACTTAATCTTTCCAAAAGGGCCCCATAACCCTAGAAAGCCTTTAATTCTCTTCCTCAGGCAAGATCCTGACAGATGACTTTGCAGACAAGGAAGGCTTGGAAATGGGTGATGAATACTTTGCAAATCTGGACCATATCGAGAGCGTGGAGAACTTCAAGGAAGGATATGAGAGTGATGCCCCCTGTTCCTCTGACAGCAGTGGTGTAGACTTAAAGGACCAGGAAGATGGTAACAGTGGTACAGAGGATGCTGAGGAGTCCAATGATGATAGCTCAGATGACAACTTCTGTAAGGATGAGGACTTCAGCACCAGCTCAGTGTGGCGCAGCTATGCTACCCGGAGGCAGACCCGAGGCCAGAAGGAAAATGGACTGTCTGAGATGGCTGCCAAAGACTCCCGTCCCCCAGACCTTGGGCCACCACATATGCCTGTCCCTCCCTCAGTCCCTGTAGGTGTCTGCAACCCACCTTCCTCCGAGGAGACACCCAAGAACAAGGTGGCCTCGTGGCTGAGCTGCAATAGTATCAGTGACGGTGCTTTTGACTCTGATAGCCGCTCCTCCTTCAAGACTGGTGAAGGTAGCGCTGGGGGAGGCCGAGGGGAAGCTGAGAAAGCCACCGCCTCGGCACTGGGCATCAAGGACGAGGGGGACGTCAAGCAGACCAAGAAGGAGGTAAGCAGTAGCTGTTAGTGTTGATGTTAGTAACCTAACTTACTTGACAGGTATTTCTTTGGAAACCTATTTCCCCCTTTACTCAGCACATTTCTAGAATGTGTTTAAAGAGGCCGGCGGTGCCAGCACTCCGGGTTCTGGTCCCGGTTGCTCCTTCCAGTCCAGCTCTCTGCTGTGGCCCGGGAGTGCAGTGGAGGATGAACCAGGTGCTTGGGCCCTGCACCCGTGTGGGAGACCAGGAGGAAGCACCTGACTCCTGGCTTCCGGTCGGTGCAGCACGCCAGCCGTGGCAGCCATTTGGGGGGTGAACCAAAGGAAAAGGAAGACCTTTCTCTGTCTCTCTCTCTCTCACTGTCTAACTCTGCCTGTCCAAAAAAAAAAAAAAAAAAAAAAAAGTTTAAAGAACCAAATTCTTTTAGGATTTACTTGGTTGGGGATCAGAGGATATATGATTCATTCCAAAATAAAGGATTTCTCTAAGTGATTTTTTTTTTTAATTAAATGGCATTTCAAGTTATATATGTCATTGCTTCCTTCTGCTACAGAAACCAAAACTGATTTTAGGGGCCAGCATTGTGGCGCAGCAGGTTAAGTCACCACTTACAACACCAGCATACCACTTCAGAGTGCTGGTTCTAGTTCCAGATTCTCTGCTTCTGATCCAGCTCCCTGCGAATGTGTGTGAGAAAGCGGATAATGGCCCAAGTATTTGGGCCCCTGCCACCCATATGGGAGTTATCCAGTGAATGGAGGCTCGCTCTCTCTCACCCTCTTTCTCTGTTGCCCTGCCTTTCAAATAATAAATTTAAAATATACATATTTAGGCCGGCGCCGCGGCTCACTAGGCTAATCCTCCGCCTAGCGGCGCCGGCACACCAGGTTCTAGTCCCGGTCGGGGCGCCGGATTCTGTCCCAGTTGCCCCTCTTCCAGGCCAGCCCTCTGCTGTGGCCAGGGAGTGCAGTGGAGGATGGCCCAGGTGCTTGGGCCCTGCACCCCATAGGAGACCAGGAAAAGCACCTGGCTCCTGGCTCCTGCCATCGGATCAGCGCGGTGCAGCGGCCATTGGAGGGTGAACCAACGGCAAAGGAAGACCTTTCTCTCTGTCTCTCTCTCTCTCACTGTCCACTCTGCCTGTCAAAAAAAAAAAAAAATATATATATATATATACATATTTAAATATATCTTTCATGATCTTGAAGCTTAGTACATGTCTGATCCATGTATGATTGCTCATGGCGTTTTTTCCATGAATGCTATGCCTCATCTTTGGAAAAGGCTGAAGACCCCTGCCGTGGGGGTTTTATTGTTGAGAATGATTGTTAGTGTCAAGTTATAGGATGATTTCCCTATCCCCATCTCTCTTTACTGGTTTACTGTGACTGGTTAATATTGTCTTTGGAGGTCATTTGAAAACAAAGTGTAATTACCATATTTATTACTTTAGACCATGAAAGCATTTAACCCATCACTTGCCCTTTTCCAGGAACCTGATGACCGAAGCAAGACATCAGGGTAAGTGCCTGTTCTTTTCTGTTTCCAAACCTACCATCTCTCAAGCCTTTGAAAGAAGCCCAAGAAACAGCCAATAACCTGACCCTCTCTCATTCCTTCTCTCCCCATCAGAGCTACTGAAAGCTCTAGAAATTATGGTTACAATCCTTCTCCCATGAAGCCAGAAGGACTTCGCCGCCCACCGAGTAAGACAAATCTACATCAGAGCCGACGACTCATGGCCTCTGCTCAGGCCAACACTGATGTGAGTGACCTTCTAAAGCCGTCTCTTACCCAGCCTTCTGTTTTATTGAATGCAAGTAAAGGACTGTGGAACAGTCTGACTTAAAGTCCGTAATTACTTTTAGGTCTTTTCTTCCTTCTTTGTCCTTAACTTCTTACCCTGTGTTCTCCATCCAACATCTAATCTTGCTCTTGCTACCGTCTCGGCCCACTGTCAAACCGTAGGGTAGAGCGTGGACTCTGAGGCCCCTCTCCACTCACTCTTCCTTATGTTCCACCTTCTGCCTCCCCAGGATGTTCTGACACTGTCCAGCAGCACAGAGAGTGAGGGGGAAAGTGGGACCAGCCGGAAGCCCACCGCTGGTCAGACTGCAGCCACGGCGGTTGACAGTGATGACATCCAGACCATCTCCTCCGGCTCCGAAGGAGATGACTTTGAGGACAAAAAGAACATGTCTGGTAGCCTGAGAAATTGCGGGAGTCGTGTAAAGAAACAGTAGGAAAGTTGGGATGGAGCAATTTTTTAAGCTAAAAGGAGGGAAAATTCAGAACCTAAGAACTGAGGCTTATCTGGAGGGTTCTCTGACTCCAGACTAAACAATTAATAGGGCTTGCCATGTCCCCTTCCTCACATCTTTCCAGAAAAGGACTCTTCCCTCAGCTCCTTTGTCCAGCACATCTAATCCTGCTTGAAAACTCTGCCACTCAGGATCTTTGACTGACTCCTGGGTTATCGGTATTCTCCAGCTGCAATTTATGGGACAAAAATGGGGGTGAAGTGTCCGTTCATGAATTGGGATGTGCCCTAACCCCATTTTCTTTCCTGTCCAGGTCCAACCAAGCGCCAGGTGGCAGTAAAGTCAACCCGGGGCTTTGCTCTTAAATCAACCCATGGGATTGCTATTAAGTCAACCAACATGGCCTCTGTGGAGAAGGGAGATAGCGCCCCAGTTCGTAAGAACACACGCCAGTTCTACGATGGTGAGGAGTCTTGTTACATCATTGACGCCAAGCTTGAAGGCAACCTGGGCCGCTACCTCAATGTAAGACCCCCTTCCTACCACCTGTATGTATAGATTATCCTGTCGTCCTCAGATTCCTAATTCCTTGAATCTACTACATAAACCTGCCTTTCCCTTTTGTAAATTCTGGACCTCTGAGCTATGATAGCGTCAGATGGCATCAGTTGTCTTTGAGTTCTCTCTCACTCCACAGGCCGGATTCTGTTTCCCTGGTTCTTACTTTATTGTCCTTAAATCTACAGCACAGTTGCAGCCCCAACCTGTTTGTCCAGAATGTCTTCGTGGACACCCATGATCTTCGCTTCCCTTGGGTGGCCTTCTTTGCCAGCAAGTAAGACAGAGTCACCAAAGGGAAGGACTGGGGAGGAGTAAGCACCCGTGGAGACCCTGAGGGCCCCTGTTGCATCTGTGACCCAGCTCCACCTGCACACACTGTGACCCCAGGTGCCTCTACTGTCTACCGCCTCACCACACCCCATCCTTTTCTTCCTCAGGAGAATCCGGGCTGGGACGGAACTGACGTGGGACTACAACTACGAGGTGGGCAGTGTGGAAGGCAAGGAGCTGCTCTGCTGCTGTGGCGCCATCGAATGCAGAGGGCGTCTTCTCTAGAGGACTGCCTTCCTCCTGCCCTGCAGACCCCTTCTTGAACTGGCCTTTCCTCAGGAACTGGGTCTTCCTGACCGTTGAACACTGATCCCCTAGTCTCTAGTCTAGCTACTCCCCCAGCTCCTAGTAGGTAGAAACAGGGGTTCTGGGTCAGGAGATCCCGCCCTTCATGGTGCTAGCAGGCAGGGCTCCTTCTCATCCTCCTGAGGCACCAGGAGGTGGGAGAAGACGACCACTCTAACCCGGGCCTGACCTCCCTTTAGCCCTGCCACGTCCCTCCCGTCCCACATCGGTTCAAGTGTTGATGCTCCCAACAGACGTTATTCCTGGAATGGGGACTGTGTATCTGCTACCCCGGTTTGTATTGTATCCAGAAAATCTTTTAACAAGATGATAAAACGAAGGTCGTGATTTAATTTTTCTCCCAATTCTGGAAATCTGAAAGAGAAATCTGTTTCTCCCACCCTCCCCAGTGGGCAGCTGTCATTATCTTGTACCTCTGCTACCTTTGTTTTTTCATATTGGTCATAAGAAATTCAAAAGGAAATTTATATAACTGCAAGGAAGGTGTAAGAAAGACTACCTTAGTTTACTTAGTTGATCCCACTTCTCAGTTCTTAATAGTCTGACACTTATTGCCATGTTTTATTTAATCTTTAATATATTTTAATTAAAAAAAAAAAACCATTAACAGTACATTTTGGTCTGAAATGGTCCCTCTGCTGAAAAGCCAGCCAGGTGCTAGCTGTAATTCTGGCTTTAAAACCAAAACCCCGAATGTTTAATAAATAAAAATTAGAACTAGTTGCCATTCTACTCCAAACCAGCTAGCCTAGCTGAAGAGAAGAGAAGCGGCAGTAAGGTCTGGGACCTGTGGCTGCAGGGACAACTGGCAGAGGAGTAACACGAGGACCATCTGAGCAGGCCCCAGGATGGCCCCTGCTTTTTTGGCAGAGGTAGGGTAAGGGTCATGTGCACCCTCCTACACTGAATTCATTTGTGTCTTAGGAGGGAAAAAGTTAAAAGCTCAGCTTTGGTTTCTGGCCCAAGGAAGGGAGGGAGTTTAGGTGGGCCTTGGTCCAACTTTGGCAGAATGAGGCCCACAGATGGGACAGTAAGGCACAGCCCTGGCCCTGGAGGGCAGGGAGTCAAAGGCAAATGGCTGGGGCCAGATTCTGAGGGAGGAATGTGATCTGTAACCTCTGCCCCAGAGCTGAGGAAGGGTCCCGAAAGCAATAGAAAGGACAACTTGGAAGACAGAGAGGGAAATAAAACCATCTCCCCTCTGACAAAGGAAATAACCAGCCTCCCCTCTTCCTGGGGAAAAGCTGGTTAGAATTTGGTTTAAAGGCATCTGGGTGACAAAGAAGCAAGGGAGGAGGACATGGAAGAACTCTCCTTGCCTTCTCCTTTCTTCCCAGAGCTCAGAGTGACCCTGTCGGGAGGGTGGGGCAGTTCCTTGGCTTTCTGCATTAATCTGGGAGGCAGCTAGGACAATGGTTCAGTCATTCTTACGATGGTTGCTATTGAGGATGGGGTGGCCGTTGGCAAGGGGCCGGCTCTTTGCTCCTCCCCCAGCGGCAGCCTCCTCCCCCTCTGAGCTCTCGGTTTCTTCTCGGTCACTGCGTTCATCTTCTACCAGCTGTGGAAAAGGGATAAGGACAGTTAACTGATCTCAAACCCCTTAGAATGTCACTCCCAGGGCTTGATCCTGCCGTACCCAGGCCCCCCTGTAGTTCTCTAGAGGGTTGTGGGTATGACAAGAAGTTTGCAGAACTCTAGAGCTGAGTACTGCGGCCTACACAATGGGGATGGAGCCCTCCTTCACCTTTCCAGTTATGAACTTGTGGGCCATGCGCAAGATGAGGTAGGCCCAGAAGATATGCAGCAGCTGCAGCACCCCCATCATGAAGTTGAAGAAGTAATAGCCAAAGAAGGCAGGATAGAGCTCCAGTGGGTACACCAGCGTGCAGTGCAGGATCCTGAGGGTTCAAGGAGAGACCGAATTACAGACACGGACAAGAGGGACTTAAGGTGGACGGTAGATAAATGGGGTAAAAGGCAAGAGTCCTGGTTTCCTGAGAACGGGCACAGCCTGGCTGCCTCCTTACCAGAAGGGCAGGATGACGAGTCGAGTGATGATGAAGACAATGGCGAAGACAATGAAGATGTTGTTGCAGGTGTTCTTCCATCCCGCGTAGTTAAACATCTTGGCTGACTGCATAAATAGCCCCCAGCCATCATCGTGGGCTCCTGTCTCCCACATACACTCATGTGCACACCCCAGTTAGCGGCACTCGTCCTATGTCCCAGGAAGGTCACCCTCCCATACACAATCCCCCAGAAGAGAAAGGAGCTGAAGAACCTGCCCTGGGGTCTCTAGGGTTGAGGAAGCCTGACCTCCAGCAGGTAGTCAGAAGAGTCGTGCAAGGCCATGATGAGAGTCCCTGCTCGGACATAATTGGCAAACCAGGAGAAGCTGATGAGGATGATGGTGGCCACGTGGTGGATGATCTGTTCCTTGAAATCCTGCAGGAAAGATCCCAGAGGACTTGTTCCTAGTCCCCAGTATCCCAACCACTCCATCCAGAAGTCAGAGAGGCTGTTCAGGCAGCGCTCATTTTGGCTTTGGCTTAACTGCAGAGCGCCTTCACCCACCTTTCGTTTGACGTCAGAGGCGATGCTGAAGAGCAGGGACCAGTAGAAGGAGAGTTCGATCATGTAGTACCAGTACTGGGAAGGGATGATGCTCTGGGACAGAAGAGAGGGCTAAGGGACCCCAGAGCAAGAGACCCAGGGGCCCACCTCTCCTAGCCCGGCCCGTCGGCCCTGAGCTTATGCCTTGAGTTACGGCAACCACCTCTTCCCAGTGGTGTCTGTCTAGGCCCACCCCACGCGAGGAGCAAGGCTTAGCACATACCTGGATGGGATATCCTTCCCACACTTTCTTCAAGTCGTAGAACCAGGGTTTCTGCAGAGATGGTGAGAAGTTAGAAGGAGGACCTGGATTCCCTGGCTTCATCCCACCTTGCCGGAGAACACACTCCTGCTTCCCAGTAATCCCCACTCACATCCATGATGACAGCCATGCCAGCAATGAAGGCAACCAGGTAAAATGTGAATCTCCAGCTAGAAGGAAATGGAGAAGGTGAGGTGGGGGATGGCCCAGCCCCCCGGCAGTTCCACAGACCCCGAGTCTGAAGCCACCATTAGTAACTCACCTCACCTCTGCATATAGCTGTGGCCCACCCGTCCCCAGCAAGGTACATCACACCTTCCTCTGCCACCCACTCTCGTGCCCCAACAACCCCCACCTGGCTTCTCGGAACTTCTTAAGAAGACTGGGCCGGTCCTGGTTGCGGCGGCGGCGGAACCAGCGCTCTACCTGGCGGCCAGACAGCCCACTCTGCCGGGACAGAAGCTCTACCTCTGCCTGGGGTAGTGAAGAAGCCGGTTACTTCCAGCAACCCTTCTCCCAGCCTCTCCAGGAACAGCCTAAGTCGGCAGCACTGCAGGCGCCACTCAAGCCTTCTCTTTTCCTTCCCACCAGAACTCAGCAACTCCCGGAGCTGAGGCTGTGGCTCATACCTGCTTGGGCTGCTTGCCGCTGGTCAGGTAGAAATGCTCCAAGGTGGCATTGGGAGGGGCCCGAAGCCGTGCCTTCTCTTTAACGTTCAGGAGGGCTGCCAGGGGAGTGGCCACATAACTGCAGGAGGAATGGGAGTGAGGTACCTGCTCTCAGAACCCTCCCGGCCCCTAACCTGGAGGGGATGGGGTGGGGGAGGCCTGCACGCAGGCAACATTATTCTGGGCCTCAGTTTCCCCAGTTTCCTGGCAATTCTTTGTCTAGCCTCCTGGGCTGCCACAGCCGACAAAGCTGGCTGTGTTCGGTAGCGGCCAGGCAGGGTGGCGGGTGGGGCTGAGAACAAATAAGCATTGAAGGGAAGACAATGGTGCCTTGGCAGGCAGGGGGGCACCGTGGGCAGGGGCCTGCATAGCCAGAACACCAGGGTCCAGGACTGAACAGCAAAAGACAAACTTGAAGTCCAAGAAAGTGTGTGAGTGGCAGCTGGAGAAGGCATGCAGGTTGCTCACAGCTCAAAGAAGTATCGAATGATGAGGAAGACCAAGGCGAGGGGTAGTGTGACATAGAGGTCTGAGGCTTTGGCATAGACTCGTCCATCCCGGTCTTCTAGATCAGCCCAGGTGAGGTTCACAGGCAGCCACAGCCGTTCCCACCAGAAGTAATCATACAAGGTCTGGAGCATCCTGGAGGAGGGACAAGGTAGAGGGCATCAGGAGGGGACAGCTATGGGAGAGGAGAGAGACGCTCATCAGACACAGCTAGGGGAGAGGAGAGAGACGCTCATCAGACACAGCCAGGGCACAGACTCCAGCCCGGGAACCTGGTCCTGGGCAGACCCGTTGCCGTACCTGTAAGACGGTGACTTCTCACTATTTACAGCAGCCCAGGGGGGTGCAGGTGCCCTAGAAGCCCTGTCGCCCTGGCCCTGAGGACATCGGAGTCTTCCCAGCACTTTGCTGTCCTAACCTGGGGGATGGGCAGGACCTGGCCCTAAGAGCTGTGGCCAACAGCCTAAGCAGCAGTCAGAAGCACCGTCCCTTCTCCGTTTCTCCCCAGCTGCCTCCTTCACCCCCAGCCAACCCACAGATGCAAGACTCTCCAGTGGGGTAGGGGAGGCCCCAAAACAGATTGCATAGCCAGAATGAACGCTTCCTCCTCTCTCCCACAAGGCATCTGGCAAGTCTCTAGGAAAAAGTAGGAGGCCATGGTAAAGCAAAATCATGTCCCCAAATGATGTTGAGTTCCAGAGTGAGGAACTACTGCACCAAAGGGTGACACCCCGTGCCAAGCCATCCAGTCCCTACACATGAGCAGATGAGCCTGATCTGCAAGCATCTTCAGAAAGAAAGCGAAGGCAAAGTAGCTCCAAGTCAGGACCGGGAGACCCAGACGTCTGGTGGAAGCAAGAGCGGTTTCTCATCAAAGCTCACCCAGAAAATAGATACTAACCTGCAAGGGAGCCCCCCACCTCAGCCCAGGAAAGAGCCGCTGCTTAACACCTCCGGCTCCCTCGTACACACAGAAAGGAAAAGGGGCCGCAGGTGGTAGAGACCGAGGGTGGCAGTGGCCTGGGGCTCCTTTAACAGCAGCCGCTGCTTGGAGCTGAAAGAGGCAGAAGATGGCCCTGAGGAACACCTGGAGGTCCCAGGACTCGGTTGCCGGCAGGACGGCCAGGCGGCCTCTCCCAGGGCCCTGCCGCAGGTCCTCGGGCCCCAGGAGCCAGGAGCGGCGGTGGTGTGCAGGCCAGGCTGCAGACCCACAGCTGAGGCAGTAGGAAGGTGGCCTCGTCCCAGCCAGGGAGGAAAGAGCGAGAAGCTGTTCTGCAGGGCAAACGGGAGGCCAGTGGCCCGGCTGAATGAAGGCTGCAGCCCAGGACCACGGAGAGCTGGGCTGGACCTGCCCCAGCCTCCCCTCAGCTCCGCCCCCACCACCACCACGGAAGCACTTTCGAAATCCTCTCGGCCTGTCACGGGTCAGTATTCCAGCTCAAGGACTTTACCCTCTCCTGGTCACTGCTGTCTCCCGGATGAAATCAGAGGTCAGCACTGACAATAAAGCAGCTTCAGCCCCGCCCCTCCCCCCGCCGGCCCCTGGCTCTCCCGCACCCCAGGGCACTGCCCTTTCCCCCTCCACCTTAGCCAGAATAAATATTTAATTAGCTAAGGAGATGGAAGCCTTTTGAACTGAACAAAATTAGATAAAACTGCCCACAATGGAACTTTCTACACACACACACACTGAGTAGAGTATGCACAACACAACACCCCTGGAAGCATCTGCCTTCTGCCCCTCTTGCTCGCAGCTAAGATTCTTCGCTTAGCCTGCAGGAGGTGGGGGAGTGTGCCTAGCCAGGCACCTGACTGCTGCCTCTCTAGCAGCCTAACTTTTCCTTCAGTGAGAGCTAAAGCCAAGGGTGCAGGGACCTCTCGACTTGGGGTCCCTCCCCATCCCGCTCAGCGGACACTGGCAGGGATACAGCATTTTGAGAGTTAAGGATGCAGAGGGCTGGCTGGGGTCCTGGGGGAGGGGCATGGCTCCCTGGACTCCTGGGGCCCGGGAATGCCTTGTGCCCCCTCGCCCCATCCCTCGCCAGGGAGGTGGGCAGGGTGGCTGTTGGAAAATGGCCAAAGGCCAGCACCTGGTTAACCCAGAACCAGAGAGCAGCGGGAGTGGAAGCCAGGCATGCCTGAGAGCAGCAGGCACCAGGAGCCGAAGCGGAGATGCCCTGGCGGGGCAGGGGGGCAGGCCTCGCAAGCGGCCCTGTGTTTCCATTAGCATCTGCGCCCCTTCCCCGCTGGCCTGGCCCAGCAGGGAGAGGCCCAGATTCAACAGGGTCAGGACTTGTGACTCACAACAAGTAGGGCTTTCAGCCGGCTCCGCTTACACAGCCCCACAGAACCAAGCCGCCTGCTCCCTGTGGAAGCCCTGACAGCTCGCTGGCACCGGCACACCAAGCCAAACAAGGATCCCATCCACCAGAGGCCAGGCAAGCAAAGGTGCTGTGCACACCGGGGCCGGGTAAAGGGATGGCCCTCCTCTCCCAGCTCCCTGGGAACATGGGACACAAACTTGATTTCCCACCTACACTTTCCTGCTATGGAAACTCTGCCCCCACCCCTGCAGAGAAGCGGTGGGCGTGTCCATGTGCCCCCCCCCCCCCCAGGTCTCACACACCTGCCCCAGAGACACAGACACCGCTCCTGTGGCAGAGGCTGGAGAGAGGCCAGTGGAGCAGGGATTTCACTGGCGTTGGGTTACCGGGGACTTGAGCAAGGCTCGGCCCAGCCCAAACCTCTGCTCCCATTCTGACGGATCAGCCCCCAGGACCCTCCTGGTGGATGAAAGGGGGCAGAGGGTCCGCCGTGGCCGCTGGCAGAGCAGAGTGCTGGGAGCCTGAGGGGAAGGCATTCCCACAGCCGCAGTGTACAGTGCATGGCAGCCACACCGGCCCTCTTTTGGAGGAGTAACTAAGGACAACAGAAAGGAGAGGAGAACCCCACAGGCTTCCCTCCGGCCTCACAGACGCCTGGGGCAGAAGAGAGCTGGAAGAAGTCCCCAGCAGTCTTCCTGGTTGAAAACTTTCTCTCCACACCACAGTGGCAGGTCAAGAAGGAGAAGGCTGCAAACAATGGAGGAAGCCAAGCGAGGTGTGTCACTGCTCCAGGCTACAGCACTGCCCCAAAATTGAGGTCAGATTGTGGGAAAGATGGGGATGGGAGGAAGCTAGAACTGTGGTGCTCAGGCCTCACCTGCCTACGGCTTGTCTGAGATGTCCCACCTAAACCCCCAACACAGCAACCCCTGCAGGAGACTACAGCCCCCAGGGGTGGAAGGGGCAGCAGGGTACAGGAGACCAGCCAGCCAATAGCCAGTGGGAGGGCTGGGGGAGGGGGTAGCCTAGCCAGAGGGTCTCAGTGAGGGAGGGAGGTTCTCTCTCTCTCTCCCTACCTCCCTCTTTGTGCAGAACACAGGATGTGCAGGGCACTGTATGATCAAGGCGCAGGCCGCAGACAAGTCCTTACTCTGGGAAACCCCATCACAGGTGCAGTCCGCCACTCACATGCAGGCCCAGTCACCCCTCAACTCCGGCCTGGGACAGCGACCCTCCCCCTCCCCTCACTGCCTGCTGGGACTGTCCCAGACACCCGTGCTAGGGAACAGGGGCTCACCCCATGGCCTCAGGCTCCTCAGTACCCCTGCCAGGGCCGGGCAGCTCAGGTGACTCAGACCCGGCTTGCATGCCAGCAGCCTGGCTCAGGTGGAGAACTCCCAAGCTCGGGCCAAAGATGAGTGCCACACACCTGTAGTTGGAGGCCCTCTGAGGCGGTAATTAGCCAGCTACCCGCCCAAAAAGCCAGTTCCACCAGCAGCTCCCCAGCCAGCCACACACACCCCATAACGGTATAGGAGCCTTAGCCTTGGGGGGCCAGGGCGGACACTCAGAGCCACTCCTTCCTGTTTCCCGTTAAGCACATGGACGCCCTGAGCTCGCTCTCGGGCTGGGCACAAGGGACCGAGGAGGAGAAAAAGCAGCAAGACCTCTGCTCCGCTCCCACCCCGGCCGCGGGGCCGGCCAGGCCGGGGCACCTCGGCGCTCCGCTGCCGGGCTGGGGACTCTGGCGCGAACGCTCACCAAGCTTTTCTCCTGCCCAACAAAGGGCGCCGAGGGCCCGGGGCCCTCCGCGAGCAGCCCCCACCTGTTGCCCGGGGCCCGGGGCGGCGCGCTGGAGACGCTGAGGCCCGGCCAGCCTGCCCGGGGCGGCGCTGGGGGCCCGGCCGCGGCGGCCGAGAGGCGCTCGGCCCGCCCGCCACAGGCCCGCCGCCATGAGCGCGCCGGGCAGGGCCCCCGGGCCGGCCGCTGCCTCCCCGCCCGGCTGCCTAGGGCGTGCGCCCGGCCAGCTCCCGCCTCGCCCCTCGCGCCCTCCCAGGCCGGGCACTCTCTGCGGAGCCGCGTCCCAGCCGCCCGGCTCTCGCAGCCCCGGCACGGCCCTTCTCGCGCGCGCCCCAGCGCCCGCCGGGGGTCCCTACTCACTCGGCGGCGGCGGCACGGGGCTGGCCGGGCCGGGGGCCGCTGCTCCGTCTCCTCTGGTCGGCGCTCCGGGCCCCCTCCGCCAGGCTCTCTCGCTCCTCTCCTCCCCCTTCCGCCCTCCCACCGGCTCCCTCCTCCTCCTCCTCCTCCTCCTCCTCCACCGCCTCCTCCTCCTCCTCCTCCGCCCGCCGAGCCCAGTCGAGCCGAGAGCGAGCCCAGCCCGGGAGAGCAAGGCCGCGAGCAGCCAGGGAGCGGGAGTCTGGGCGTGGGCCTGCGGCCGGGAGGGCAGCTGCGCCCCAGCGCCGCGGCCGCACTCCGGACGCCCCGGGGAGAAGCGTCCGGGAAGGGCAGGCCGCGTGCGGCTCGTACAGACGCTTTGGCCCTCCGATCGACCAAGAGAGGCCCCCCACGAGGTTCCCAGGGGTGGGGCCCGAGGTGGCCGCGCCCTTGCCGCACCCTGCCCGCCCCCCACTTCGGTCCACGACCGCAGCGCAGCCACGACCCTTCCCTCCAGGCCCGTGCAACCCAAGGGCTGTGGGCCAGAAAACCGTACACCCTTCCTGCACACACACCTCCCCGTAGAAAAGAGAGGCTGACAGACACAACTTCTGTTTTGCACAATGAATTTAAGTTTTCAATCTATACCCTATGTCCGTCTTTGAATTCAAATAAATCAATAAAAGTCGTTTTCCCTTGGGGAAGGCATTGGTGCAGCTACTAACAAACCCACGTCCCCCATCGGAGTGCCTTTGTTGGAGTCCTGGCTCCTCTCCCGAATCCAGCTTCCTGCTGTCGGGCATCCTGGGAGGTGGTGGCTCAAGTACCTGGCCCTCTGCCACCCACGTGGGAGATCAGGCTTGAGATCCAGGCTCCGTACATAGTCTGCCCCAATCCAGCTTTCGAGGGCATTTGGGGAGTGAGCCAACAGATAGGAGTGCCCTCTGTGTCTGTCTCTCAAATCAATACATTTTTTTAAAGATTTATTTATTTGAAAGGCACACTTAGAGAGAGAGGGAGCAACAGAGAGAGGTCTCCCATACGCTGGTTCCCTCCCCAAATTGTCACAGCAGTGGAAGCTGGGCCAGACTAAAGCCAGGAACCAGGAGTTTCTTCCAGGTCTCCTTGGACCATCCTCCACTGCTTTCCCAGGCACATTAGCAGAGAGCTGGATCGGAAGATGAGCAGCCAGAACACGAACCAGAGCCCATATAGAATGCTGACACTGCAGGTAGAGGCTTAACCTACTATACCCAGCACCAGGCCCACTGTATATTTGGGACTGGTGTGTGGTGCAGTGGGTTAAGCCATGGCCTGCAGTGTTGGCATCCCTTGTGGGCACAGCGTGGTGTCCTGGCTGCTCCTCTTCTGATCCAGCTCCCTGCTAATGTGCCTGGGAAAGCAGAGGAGGATGGCCTAAATCCTTGGCCCCCTGCCCCAACGTGGGAGACCAGATGGAGTTCCAGGCTCCTGGCTTCGCCTGGCCCTGCCCTAGAAATGGTAACCATTTGGGGAGTGAACCTTCAGATAAAAGATGTGTGTGTGTCTCCCTCTCTCTGTAACTCTGCCTTTCAAATAGTTTTTTTTTTTTTTCAAATAACTTTTTAAAAATCTGTTTTTAAAAATATGTTCCCCTTAAATCAGTAGGATTAATGTTTCAGGAAGATGCAAAGTGTCTATGCTAGAAAGCTGGCCATTGACCGGCCTGACAGTTTGTCTGGGATGCTTCTGAGGCTTTGCTTTCCGGGAGACTGACAGCTTACTCCACGCAGAGGTACTTTTGAAACGCTTCTCCATGATGAAATGGCCTTGTTATGTTGTCATTTAGAACCTGTGTCTGTGGTTTGTGTCATGGCTTATCTAGGCAAGTGTGGGTTCTCTGACAGCTACCCTCAGGAGTCTCTCTCTCACACACACACACATACACACACACACACACACACACACTCCTCTCTTTCTGGAGGGGTAGAGAGGCAGGACTGACAGCCAACCTGTTTGCTCATTTTCTCTTAGCCCTGGGACACCCCCCACCACCACCAACCATCACCAGCCCAGGCCACTGCAGGATAGCCCATCCCCTGCCCTGCCCCAGGGGCCTCTCCCAGCTCCTCCAGCTCCAGGCCTGCCAATCATCCCGATTCCCAGCAACCTCTCCTTTGCCCCCGTTTGACTCCTCCTCCCTTGTGAGCATATCTGATATCTTTCTAACTCCTGAGCTCTCAGGCTTCCAGTTCCAAAGTTCCCTCTGCTGGTCCCCAGTGCCTTCTGCCACTCACCTGCTATGCACATGCCTTCCCCGCAGCGTCCCAGGGTCTCTGTCTGCGCCCCAGCCAACCTTGGGGCGCTCTGCACCCCGCCCACCTCCTGACCCTTTTCACAGGTGGCTCTCCTAGGTGACCCAGGCCTTTTAATGCTTCCTCAGAAGGCCTGAAAACTGTCTAGCTTTTTTGTTTTGTTTTGAAAATTAGTAGTAGGGAAGGGAAGTTTGGGGGCAGAAGTTGGAAAAATGAGGGCCTGAGAAATAAAGATAAGAGGGTGCACCCTTCCCCCAGGAGACAAAGGAAGAGGAGGATGGAGGAGAGGAAACAGGCCCCAGCCAGTGCGAGGGTGGACCAGGACAGTCCCAACCCCACTCTTCCAACCCATCCCCCCAAAGGCTGGCACGGCCACGCCCTCAGTGCCCCAAGCTGCTGCCTTGTGGTGACTCACTTCCTCTGTTTGGGCTGCTGAGGTGTCCCAAGGCAGAGGACAGGCCAGAGTTTAGGTACTGAGGGAGGCCCCTGCGATGGAGCAACACAGGGAGCCCAGCAGGGGAAGGTCTTTGCAGGTCAGGGTGAGCTGCACTGCACAGAACCCGGCCTGCCTGAAAGAAGAGATGCAGGTGCCAGGAGGCCCAGGAAGAAAGAACACGTCTCCTAACAAGAGGTAAAATAGGGGCCCGTGCTGTGACACAGTGGGTTGGGCCACCACTTACCACGCCTGCATCCCATGCCAGAGCGCCGGCTTGAATCCCGGTGGCTCTGCTTCTGACCCAGCTTCCTGCTGATGTGCCTGGGAGGCAGCGGAAGATGGCCCAGGTATACCTGGGTCCCTGCCACCTGTGTGGGAGACCCAGGTGGAATTCTAGGCTCTTGGTTTAGGCCTGGCCCAGCCCCAGCTATTGTTGCCACTTGGGAACTGAACCAACAGATGGAAGATTTCTCTCTTGGTCTCTCTCCTTCCTTCTCTGTGTGTGTGTGTGTGTGTGTATGTGTGTTCCCCTCCCCGTCTGTTGAGCTGCCTTTCAAATAAATAAATAAATGTTTATTTAAAGAAGAGGTAAAATAGAAGGAATTTCTATGTACTCTGAAGTCTGCAATGCAAAGCATTTGCAGAAAAGTAATATGAGGGGGCCGGCGCTATGGTACAGCAGGTTAAAGCCCTGGCCCGCAGTGCTGGCATCCCATTTGGGCTCTGGTTCATGGCCCAGCTGCTTCTCTTCCAATCCAGCTCCCTGTTAATGCTCCTGGGAAAGCAGCGGAGGATGGCCCAAGTTCCTGGGCACCTGCACCCATGGGGGAGACCCGGAAGTAACTCCTGGCTACTGGCTTTGGATCAGCCCAGCTCCAGCATTTGTGGCCATTTGGGGAGTTAGCCAGTAAATGGAAGACTTCTCTTTCTGTCTCTACCTGTCTCTGTAACTCATGTCTTTCAAATAAATACATAATCTTTAAAAAAAAAAAAAAAAGAAAGAAAGAAATGTAATATGAGGTTGAGTGTTGAAGACCTGTCCGTGAGTCGACAGCCGAGGCGCCATCTATTGGGGTTTTTCCCCTGTGTTCCACTAAGAGAGATCTTCAGTCAGCCCTGCCGTCACCGAGTGACAAAGAAAACGCCAAGGAAAGGTTAGGAAGCCTGGATTCTGGTTCCAAGTCTTTGGCCTGGCACCTTCCTTGAGTCGGTAATGAAAGGGTGACAGATAAGATCATCTCAGATTTCCTCCAACTCTCAAATTATAGAGCAGGGAGGTGGAAGGTGATTAGCAAATCTGAAAACAACCACAGTCGCCCTGGAACTGAACAAAGCAAAACCCAGAGATAAAAGGCCCGAGAGTCCATCCAGGTGTCAGTGGAACAATTGTGAATGCCTCGCACACACAAGCACTCCTCACACCCAGGCTGCGAGCGCGTCGCTTCTGCCAGGTGACTGGGCTTCTGCCCACGACTCCAGGTTCGGAGTTCAGCCATGTAGGTAGACCAGCAGTCCCTCGGAGAGGCTCAGGCTGGACCAACAAGAACCCTGACCCTCCCTTCATTTCCTCCTAAGCCAGCTCCGCACACATAGCCAGAAGAGACCCTGAAGGGTTCAGAAAGCCCAGGGCACGGGGACCTGGGCCAGGCAGCTGCTGAACTTTGGTGACCCAGCCTAACTGGTGAAGAGTGCCCTGCGCGTGTCCACAGCTCCGCCACCCCTGCAGCCCGGAGCAGATAAACACTGAGGCTGACGCTGCCCTCTCGTCAAGTCCACCCAGGAACCCAATGTCCTCGGAAGGATGCACTTCGCAACAAGTGGATCCAGAGAGCCCCTTTGGATCTGGGAATGTAGCCAAGGCCTCAAGTGCCCACTAGAGGGCTCGAGAGGTTCAGGGGCTGCTGATGCCCTCTTGTGGCCAGATCGGGGATTGGCAAGGAAGAGCCAAGACTGGACAATAAAAGTTACCATTAAAAATAACATTGCAACAATGTTTAAGTTAAATATCAGTTAACCTCTGGATATATTTTTATTTCAGAACATTTTGATTCTGTGTCCAACACTCTCCTAAATGCCTTGTATGTATTAATGTAATTCTCTCAAAAACCTATAACATAAATAGTGTTTTCATCTCTGTGGTTTTTAGTTACTTATTTATTTGGAATTCAGAGTGACAGAGAGACAGAGAGACAGAGAGAGAGAGAGAGAGAGATTTTTCCATCTGTTAGTTCACTCTCCAAATGGCCACAACAGCCAGCCTGGGCCAGGTTGAAGCCCGGATCCAGGAATCCCATCCCAGTCTGTCACTCGGGGTCCATGCACTTGGGTCATCTGCTGCTGCTTTTCTAGGCACATTAGCAGGAAGCTGAATCGAAAGCAGAGCAGCCGGGACTTGAGCCAGCACTCCCAAATGGGACGCCGGTATCTCAAGTGCCACAACATAGGCCCCCTATCATCTCTTCTGACAATGACAAAATTGAGCACCGAAAGGTCAAGGCGCTTGCCCAGTGTCACACAGAAAGCTGGGATTCTGGCTCTAAGAATTCTGCTCTAGAACCCTTGCTTTCAGCCACCATGCTGAGACTGAGTCCCGTGTGTGTGTGTGTGTGTTGCCAGGTAAAACACAGGATGCATTTAGGTTATGATTTCAGATAAATAAGAAATGGTTTGTTAGCATAAATACATTCTGTGAAGTATTTGGGTTATACTTATACCAACATTGTTTTCATTGTTTCTCTGAAATTCTCATTTAACTGGTGTCCTGCATTTTTATTTACTTAATTGAACACCCCTAGTTTACAAGGCATTTTCTCTACCATCACACACATCACCTCACTTTTTTTTTTTTTTTTTTTTGACAGGTAGAGTTATAGACAGAGAGAGACAGAGACAAAGGTCTTCCTTCCATTGGTTCACTCTCTAAATGGCTGCTACGGTCAGCGCTGTGCTGATCTGGAGCCAGGAGCCAGGTGATTCTTCCTGGTCTTCTGTGCGGGTGCAGGGTCCAAGCTCTTGGGCCATCCTCCACTGCACTCCTGGGACACAGCAGAGAGCTAGACTGGAAGAAGAGCAACCAGGACTAGAACCCGGTGCCCATATGGGATGCCGGCACTGCAGGCGGAGGATTAACCAAGTGAGCCCATGGTGCTGGCCCCACATTACCTCACTTAATCCTCCCAGGCGATCAACCCTCAGATGCCCCAGCAGATCCCCCATCTCACCTCACCCAGTATTCCCATTGAGAGAGCTGAGATGACCAACTAAGGTCACAGAGCAGAGCTGCAGACCGGTCCTGCGTTCGGCAATTCAAAGACTGGTGCGTGTTTTCTGCTTTAACGGGACAGAAAAGTGGGGTGTGGTGATCACTCCCACAGGTGTCTTTCTTCTGGGTGGCACCTCAGGGGGAGGTTGGAGTAAAAGCCTGGGTTGGGGGAGTGATGGGGAGTGGGCCAGCTCTGGAGCGTCTGTGCCCAGCCCCCATGGGATGCCCTCTCCAGGGAGACAAGAGGCTGCATCCAGACCCTAGGGAGCCGGCTGCGAGGTCTGAGCAGCAGCAGCTCAGGGCCCCAGGCGGGCGGCTCCCCAGAACTGTTCACCTGCCGCTCCGCACGCTCACAGCTGTTGCCCAGCTGCTGGGGTTGCATCACCCAAGCTACAGCAGCCAGGGAGCCCTGGCAGCCAAAAGGCGGCAGAAGGAGTGGAGGAAACCGGGGCCCAGGGAGCTCCCCCTTCTCGGGGTTGCCTCTTGGGAGCATGGTGCGTCCATCCTCCGGGAACACCCTCTGCATTTTTTTCTCTTGACTGGCTGCTCTGTTCCCACCCCCAAATACCTGTGCCTTCCTTCCCCACAGACACAAACAGTGCCTTCACCCTCCCCACCCGGCTGGCTGGCTGGTTCTAAAAAGGCAAGGGAGTTTCTGGGCTGGGACCCCCTCTGGGGTGCAGGCTGGGGTGCCCTGCTAGTATGTGCCCCAACAGGTTTTTCTCTATCAACCTTGAAATCCAGCCCGGCCCGGAGCCTGTCTGACCTGCCCCCTTAGGCAGCTGGAGTCAGAGGCAGAGCCAGGCCAGAAACTGGACAGGAACGAGGCTTCTGTGGTCCCACCTGGCCCCACAGGGAGACAGCACTGCACAAAGGCACCTCTGTGTGACTGAGCTGCTGAGAGGCTGAGCCCAGCTGAGCCCGGTGCCTGGGAGGTTAGATGCGAGCAGAGAGGTGTTTGCATGAAGGAGACCTGGTACAGCCTGGTCTTCTCCCACGTGTGGGAGGGGCCAGAGCCCCAGACAACAGCTGCTCTGCCCTGCAAGGAGGTCATCTGACCGGCTGCCCACGCCCCCTCACCTCTCCCAGGCCACACGGGAGCTGCCACCCGGCCACTACACCAACACCGCCTCACCCCTCGCACCTCTGGGTAAGTGCTGGGCCGGGGCCTGCATGCTGGGGTGGGGGCCGGGGAGGAATGAGCCTTCCTTTTCCAACAAGAGAGTGCCTGCTGTCTTGAACAGGCACCTGTATCCCAACAAGAACACTTTCGCCAGCTTGGAGATTGCACCTGCTCACCTAACCATTCCAGCTCGAGACCCCAGAGTAGAAGGCAGACAAGCTGACAGCTGCTGGCCTTGCTTCTAGGCCTGGGCAGCAGGTGGTGGGAGGTGCTTTTATTTATTTATTTATTTTAGATTTGTTTTATTTATTTGAAAAAAGCTGAGTTACAAGGAGAAATAGGGGGAGAGAGAGAGATCTTCAATCCGTTGGTTCACTTCCCAAATGGCCACAACAGCCCGGGCTGGGTCAGGTTGAATTCAGGAGCCAGGAGCTTCCTCCAGGTCTCCCACATGGGTAGCAGGGGCCCACACACCTGAGCCATCTCTCACTGTTTTCTCAGGCCATCAGCAGGGAGCTGGATCAGAAGAGGAGCAGCTGGGACTCTAACCAGTGCCCAGGTGTCGCAGGTGGTGGCTTTATCTGCTACTCCATAGCACCAGCCCCAGGGAGGTGCCGCTAGGAGCTGCCTCTCACCCCATTGTACCCCACTGTACTTGATCCTTTCACTTCACCTCAATACCTCTGTGCTCCTCCAGGAGGACCCAGCCAGGCCAGGAAGGGAGGGCGTCCACCTCACCCAGGGCTGAAGAGCCTTGGGACAGCCCCGGGGTGCCCAGGGTTGGCTGGGCCTGATCCTGACACCTCCCACGAGGGTCCCTGCTTCCCACAGGGACGTTGGGACCCGTGTCCCCTCCTCTCCTGCTCCAGCTCTGGCTCCTGAACCTGTTAACTAAGTGGGTTGAGTTCTTTATTCCTGCCAGCAGGGGCAGGAACAGGCGGGATCTGAGGTCCTGAAGCCACCCCAGTGGAGAGGCTGGGACATCCTGCTCAGTTGCTCCCCTTTGCTTCCCCAGGCTAGCCCGCAGCACCATGTCTGCGAGCAGCGGGAAGCCGGCGCCAACCCTGACCCAGGAGATCCTCAGCCACCTGGGCCTTGCCAGCAAGGTAGGGGCTGTTGGGATTTGAGGGACCGTTTTCAATGTACATGCTGGGGGCTGTGAGGTGTGGGTGGGCAGATAGGCAGATGGAGAGCAGGCCTGAGGCTGTGCCAAGGGCCTGGCTGGGGCGTGAGGAGGGGTTCGCACAGACCGGGATGTCCCCGTCGCCCTGTGCCCCCACAGACTGCGGCGTGGGGCACCCTGGGTGTCCTCAGGACCTTCCTGAGCTTCAGCGTGGACAAGGACGTGCAGCGGCTGCTGAGGGCCATCGCAGGCCAAGGTGAGCCCCGCCCCTCTGCCCTTGGGGAACCGGCCAATGGGAGGAGCTAGCAGCGTGGGGAATGCTTGTAAGGTGTCAGGGCCGCGGTGGGTGTGTGCT